GAAAACCACGCTCAAAATATTTTGTACCACCAGAACAGCACAGTACTTTCTGGTGCAAGCGAACTGACTGAATAGGAGCTAGAAATCAATTGAAAAAACAATAAATCCGAAAAAGAAAAATTCACAGTGTTCTAATTATGCATATAATCATCAAGGACCTAAGTAATTGTTCAGTAGTATGTTCACTAAAAATTCTGGTAATTTAGCGAATGCCTATCTTAATTATAACATTGTTGAATACAATTTACATCGATCCTTGCATAAATTCAGTAGGAATTCGTTGGCAGGAACTTTCCAACAAACAACAGTTCCATTTAATTCATAAATATCAATAATTTCAGAAGTGAAAAAGATAGCAGAAATATTAAAATAAATAAGAATGGAAAAAGTATGGTGTTGTCTTAACAAAGTTAGTTATTATTACTTCGGGTCAGATTAAACGAAATCTTACCGATGTAACTGGTATATTGTTGAGGAATGCTTATAGTGGTTGAGCGCAAAATATCTGTGATACTATCCAAGCATTCAGGAGACAATTCATTATCACCAAAAGATCCTAACAATTCCGAAACAACTAAATCTGGGGATGGCAATTGACCAGCTCTGACCTTTTCACTCAGCTCTCGCATATCACCTTCAATAATTTGCACTCGATCCTTCCAGCTGAAATCTATTAGTGTACAGAAGCGATGAAATATTAGCATGACAGAAGATAATCACATTTCCCAAAATTTCAAATGACCAAAAAATAATAAACAAAAAAAAAAAAAAAACAAATAAATAATAAACAAACAATGAACTAATCTAGATGAAGAGTTTCAAATTTATCACTTAAAAAAAATATTAATAATCAAGCAATTTATTTGGATTAATTGCAAGTGATTATTTAAAAGAATGTCTGGTGACTATTAGTAGAACGAAATTCATGAGAAATTTTCTAGAGAGAAACAAGTAGAACATCAGAGACCCCAATAAACAGAAGAGACCTAAATTACTAATGGTCTATGCGCCGAAACAACAATAATCACATGTTTCATTTTGCAAAATAAGGACCAACTGATGTTTGTTCCTAAACTGCAAAGTAACAACAGCATGAGCATTTTTCTCCACTGAATAAAGTTCAAGCTTCAGTAAGCCACGGCGATTACAACTTTTTGCATTGAATAATTCTTCAGCTTCAATTATCATTTGCATCTATAAATAATCGTTATATAGCAAAAAGATAAGCACAAATGTCAAATAAAAAGACAAGGGGTTGTATGCCATTCAGCGTAATATATCTCATATGTTTTCTATACCAAATAAGCTCACAGTGAACAAATCAGTTATTCACAGTTTACTGCCTAATGTTTTTGGAAAATAAAAAATAAATGCATAGCTAACCAGAGGTCCTCTTCCTGCTCCTAAAAGATATACAGCGATGTTTCGCTCCTCACCAGTTATTTTAACGAGATCCTCAATAGCGTAACAAATCGCTTCACGATATAAATCATATTTTACAGAATCCTCTTCAAAAATTGCATAAGTACCCGAGTCAAGATTATCTGCTAATGGTTGTAGAGGCATCTAAAATAAAAGAAAACAGCGTTCCCATTATTCTAATAATTTCTTAGAAATACTACTGAAACAAATGTGCTTCAGTCTTGAAATAGAATTTAAGAGTTTTTTCTTTCAAGTCTATCTATTTTTCATCTAACTGTCAGAAAAATACATCAAATGATAGAAATCAGTATGAAGGAAAGAATCACAATACATACCTGTAAAGTATCGATATACTCCCGATGTCCAAGATATTCAAACAAAACATTATCGTCACTACCGGCAAGTGCAGCCTCTTTTGACTGAATCGCTTTTTCCTGTATCAGTTGTTTGATCATATTTACGTACTGTAGTCGAAGATGCTCATCAACTTGTTCAGAGCTATTGCAATGTATCAACGGTCGTTGTACCACTGATACGAATAAATCCATCAACAGACGGTAATGTGCTCTGTAAATATCAAAATTCTTTTCTTCGAATTTTTATTCAATTTTTGGAAATGATGAAAGTGACTTCCTTCTCTTAGTAATGCAAAAAAGCGAGTTATTTGACAGTAATGAAGTGAAATTAGCGGCATATGATCTGAAAGAATATAGTAAAATAAACAACTTGTTCGTTCTACTATTATCGGAAAGCAACCCACTAATTTGGAAGCGGATCCGCAGAGTTTCACGGTTTATGAACCTACATATAAATTATATATATGCACTTAAATCACTTAAAAATGAAAACTGAAAAAGAACAAAGAGAAGCATACGGTGGCAGCGTACATTTGCCGTACTGTCCACTAGATGTGAAAATGGATGTTTCAATACAAAATGAACACAGTGGCTCAGCATGCCAGCGTTTATACAGTCGTGGTTCCAGGAATTCATCGGCTAGATTAGGACATAATCTCAGTCCGACAGCTAACTTCTGCATCGGATAATTGGTGCAAAGACTTCGAAAATCAGCCCATATTCTCCAAATATCACGAACATCTTGTCCGCAAGCCGCAGCAGGAAGAAGATTTTCATCGGTTGGTAAAAACACCCAAACACTACAATGCTGATTACCATATTCAAATGAGTTTGCTAATGAAGTCACTCATTCCTTAGTTGAAAAGGACAACTCCATTCTACAGAATGAAGACTCCTTTCTAGAAATGTGTATTGACGACGTTAAGTATGCTGTTATAGATGTCAGTTGAATAACAATTCTTATTTACAGAAACTTAGCGGATCAGATATTACAAAAGGTGATTCTGATCTTCAATCGGTAATAGTGGATGATGTAATATATAAGTAAATGAATTTAAGTAATTAAGACCTGTAGGTCATATTCCGCGTCCACATCCACTTTGTCAGTATTTCCGCTAATTTTGGAGAATCACGATGTTTTAATTCCAATGTTAATACACGCAACGGCATGTAGGTCATGTAATTAAGCTCCTTTAAGCAAATAAGTTTAATAAATAGCAATTACAAGCATCATAACTAATAATTTTGCCCAAATTTTTATTGTTGCAATTGTTTCAAAAAAGAAAACACGCATTTAAGAAGGTTCAAAAACTTGCTTTGGATGTAACATGACTAAAAATAATAAAAGATTACAAATTCACTAAAATTACCCTTTAATCAAAATTTCAATTTTAATTCAGCGTGATGTACATGGCAAGCATTAAAAATTCAATTTTTTTTTCGTCATGCGGGATATTACATAAAGCAACAATTACTGTTAAAAGATTAGCTATTGCATATAGCTATAAATAAAATTGGTTTGAACTATAAATATAGAACTATAAATAAAAATTATGGTTGGAAAGACAAACTAAGTCAATAATTAAAACAGTAGTGTTTTTCTCAACCTTTTCAATTTCAATGCATGATAAATCTGCCAACCAACTTTCGTTCGCATCACAATCTATCCAGTCCGATATCCGCCCTATAACATATGTTCCCCATAATTTTACATCAAGTTGCAAATCCGGCAGATCTATCGGTGGTGGAATGCCGTTTCTAAAAACATCATAGTATCCTTCATTTTGCAAATAAATTTCGAGTACCATTAGCTAAATTATCTGTCTGTCAGTAATCATCACGTTTTGTAGAACCACAATAATACAATCACCTAAGTCCCGAAAGAAACCTGAAACTAATCTAAATTGACGATTCAAATAAATTTTGTCACTCATCCAAATTATTTGCTGGATAATAAAATTCAATATCTTTTGGTTTAATGCTGATCTAACAAATTATGCGACTTCCGTTCCAATATCCTCTAAAGCTGCAAAAAATGTACACCAGAAACACCAACTTTTCAGGACACCATGATGATCGCTTCATACCACCAACTGGATAATTCATGAAATTGTAGTTCCGAGCTCCAAGTCTCGAACAGTATTCGACAATATCTGTATCATGTATGCCATCGCTATCCGTTGCCATCCACCCAACTAACGCCGAAATTTCTACATCGGATACCTGCACCACTTGTTCATCTTCCTGACACATCTGAACAACTGTGTTCCAGCTATGGTTAATATTCCAATGCCAGTTACAAAGTTCTACTTCACGACTTTTTTTCCACTTTAACTACTTTACTAAATTATGCTAAAAACCATACTGAAATTACAGGAACCATAACTTTTTTCCGACACGGAACCATCTCCAACGAATATGCGTTGGGATAATTTTCAGTGAATTATTACAACTAACTTTATACTGAATGTTACCTCTAAAAAATTCTATTTAACTGATATGGCAACCAGAGCTCGAGGACTGTAAATGGAACAAAAGAATTCAGCGTACTTTAAAGTAACGAGAGAAATGGAGAATCCTTATCCAGCCTATAACTTCAGTCTAGAAGAGGAACACTAGGGTGACTACAACCTAGAATTCAAACGTTGCAACTAATTGTCTATAGAAATGGCATCAAACATTAGCATCGTCTGAGAAATCAATAAAAGTTTTCAATGTATGACAAATTAAATGGGACACAAATTTTTCCACTGAAAACAGTAAATCCATGTACTGTAAATTATTTTTACTTTCTTTTCCTCATTCGAAAAGCAAATAAAAGAACTCGACCACAGTGTATGCTTGTTATATTTTCAGTCAAATAAACTGATTCAAATCAGTTTAAAACGAGAGAAAAACTGATTCTAACAATTTTACTCTATGAGTAGAACCTATGCATAAAACAAAAACACTTCAGAATCGAAATTGAATATGTAAATCTAGTGCTTGTTTAATTTTCTAAAATGATTCGAAAAACAGATAGATTACTGAAGCGAAACAGGTGTCAAGTAAATCATTACAGAAACAAAACAGTGAAAGCCTAACATGTATAACAGTAAAATATTCTGTTATGTTCCTAATGTTTACAATAATAGCACAATAGAACCTTTTACAACATAAACGAAATCAGCTGAATTTAGGATCAAGAAAATCCACTACTAATTAAGATCGGTTTAATAATCATCAACCAGACTGCTTAGCTAATTCTTCAGCTTTTACAACTACATCATCGATTCCACCTTGCATATAAAATGCCACTTCTGGCAAATGATCCATCTCACCTGAAAATAAAACAAAACTGTCTTTCAAAAAAAAAAAAAAAAATAACTAAAGAAGCAAATTTCCTATGTGAGTGATGATGCAAATGTTACATCATTATTGAACCGGTTACTCAGAATCAGTGGGCGTGAAACAGCACCAGTGCAAATGTATGGTAACATGACTTAAATAGATTTAACGCAAGCAATTCACAAGCTATAGAAAGGAATTCAAATCCTTGGTGGAGAAAATTTTAAGGAAAGTAAAATTGGTGTATTCCGTCAGCGCTACCAACTCAAAGCATCCTGAAGCCAGCAATGAAGATCAAATTATTATGGTAGGATTGGTCCCAATTACTTTAGTTCAGTTAATAACAAGTGCATTTAAGATTAACTATACCTTCCATTGGCACCTACATAGCCCCTTAATGTATCGTAACTCGAAAGTTTTTCTAAGAATTAATCGATTATTGAAACAGAATGAGAGCAAAACTAACACATCAAAATCAAGAACAAAATTATTTCAAATAACCATGGAAGCCAACCTTACCTTTTAAAATAAGTTCAAACCCTCTGATTGTTTCTTCGAGAGTTACAAATTTCCCTTTGTGTCCGGTGAAAACTTCCGCAACCTGGAATGGCTGAGACAAAAACTTCTGAATCTTCCGGGCTCTTGACACCACCAATTTATCTTCTTCTGACAATTCATCCATGCCAAGAATGGCAATAATATCTTGCAACGACTTGTAATCCTGCATAGCAAAAATATATTTTAATGTAAACAAAACTTTATTCAAGAAAACATAAATGAACCACATGCTTTTTATTAAATGTTTCTGAAATTTATTATGAAGTTCCTTGTTACTGTTTATAGCTTATTGCTGTTTCTAGAAAAGGCAGCTTAACAAATAAACTAAGAAAAACAGTTAGAAAATGAAAAGTTGCCTGTAAAATCTTTTGTACACCGCGAGCAATATCATAATGTTTCTGCCCAACAATATTAGGATCCATGATGCGAGATGTTGAATCAAGCGGGTCTACGGCAGGATAAATAGCCAGTTCAGCAATACCTCGGGATAATACAGTTGTAGCATCTAAATGAGCAAATGTGGTTGCTGGAGCTGGATCTGTTAAATCATCAGCAGGTACATAAATCGCTTGTACTGATGTAATTGAACCCTAAAAAGAAGTGTTGAGTTTAATTTTTAGTTCATCAACTATATGTATACCAATTAGACTTTCAATAATACCAGAGATGAAACTGAATATTTCAGTTGATGATGTTAAATACTGTACTCATAAATATATGATTTAAAATAAACCCAACATAAATCTTAAAAATTCATTAGCTCCCAACGCATTATTTGAATCATTAGCAGTCTGCATTTCCATCCGGATTTGTCAACAGAAAAATGAGTGAACCTTTTTGGTTGTGGTGATTCGCTCCTGCATGCCACCCATATCTGTTGCTAAAGTTGGTTGATAACCTACAGCTGATGGAATGCGCCCAAGCAGCGCTGATACTTCGGAACCAGCTTGTGTAAATCGGAAAATATTGTCAATGAAAAGCAGTACATCCTGTCCTTCTTGATCACGAAAATATTCAGCAACTGTCAAACCAGTTAAACAAACCCGTGCTCGTGCTCCCGGCGGTTCATTCATTTGGCCATATACAAGTGATACCTTCAAAGATATTTATTATTGAAGTGGTGTATGCTATCAGATTCATTTTAAAACAACTATCCCAAAAAATTAATGATGGCACCCGATGAACAGCTGTTTTATAAGTCTTCTGATCAGATTTATACAACTGACGAACTAACTTTCGAATTTTTGCCTTTCAAATCGATGACTCCACCTTCAATCATTTCGTGATACAAATCATTACCCTCTCGAGTACGTTCACCAACACCCGCAAATACTGAATAACCACCGTGCGCTTTAGCGACATTATTGATCAGTTCCATAATCAACACAGTTTTTCCCACACCGGCTCCGCCAAATAATCCTAAACTTATATTACGACTTATAGTAAATATCACAAAGTCTCAACAACTAAAAATATCTCAAATATTTTCAGTTCTGCCTGTTCAACAAAATAAAAACAGCTGAAGTTAATGCTCTCGTAATAGAAACCCCGACACACCTAACGATCTGGTTATGTATGAAAATTTTTAAGCATCACCAGCAAAAAGTAATGCAGTATTAGAATTTACATATTTCAAATATAATTTATGCTCATTTTGACTGCACGATTCTTGAAATAACCGTACAGCTTCGAAAGAGCAAAAATCGACAAAGTTGTAATAGTCAATATCTTTATAACGTACCTTAGCAAAGAGACTGAGAATTCATGTAAAAAATAAGTCAAGATGTGCAAAATTTTTTCTTTGGTTGGAAAACTTGATCAGAAAAGCATTTCAGTTTAGTTAGTCAAGTCAATAAAATTTTCGTGATTCATGAAATATAATGATCCACAGTATACTCTATACTCTTTTATTTTTTCTTCCCATTCCAACTTCATAAAAACGATTAAAAATTAGTTACGTCTTTTAAATTATCTTTGTAAAATTTTCTAGAAACTAAAGTGATATACGTATGACCACGAATGAATAAGATTTCCACAGCAACAAGATAAAAACTCTTACCAATTTTACCACCCTTTGCATACGGCGCGAGCAAGTCAACAACTTTAATTCCAGTCACAAGAATTTCTTGTTCCACGCTCATATCGACAAATTCTGGTGCTTCAGCATGAATTGGAGAAAAATGTTTGGAATTGATAGGACCTCGCTCATCAATTGGTTCACCAATAACGTTCATGATACGACCAAGAGTTTCTGGTCCAACTGGAATTTTGATCGGATCGCCAGTATCTATGACTTCATCCCCACGAACAAGTCCTTCTGTACCGTCCATAGCTATTGTTCGTACTACATTGTCGCCTAAAAAATCCATTTGTAAGTAAAATAGTTCAGAACAGAAGTTATTATAAAGTTGTCATAATTGTTTCAAATAGCTCAGTTAGGAACTTATATTCGCACAATAACAGTGTTATTTGCATATCTGCAAAAAATTCTCGATAATCTTTTTTTTTCTGAAGCAAATTCTTACATATTTCCTCATTTGTTAAGACCTTTCAACCTACCGAGATGTTGCGAAACTTCCAAGATAAGACGTGGTTTACGCCCAGATACTTCAAGTCCATTCAGAATTGGCGGTAAACCTTCATCAAATTGCACATCCACTACGGCACCAATTACCGCTACTATACGTCCCTTCGAACCTTTTACAGTCGGCTTCACCGGTGGAGATACAACCTGATGCAATAAAAAAAATATAAATTTGGAAGTCATAAAGCATGTGAGTTACTTCCAAAATTAACGAATACCTTTTTAGCAGCATCTGCCGTAGCTAATACTGACGTAGATGAATGTAAATCCTTTCGGCAGTTAACCGGAATCAGTGTTCTTTCTAGTATTTTAACTGGAAAAATAGTAGCGGAATGAAGAAGCAATCAAAAAGTGCAACAATTCAAATTTGTCTTATAGCAGATGGAAAGTACAGAACTAGATTAAAAGCTTTCTAATGAAAAAAATCAATAGTGGTCAGCATCATTTTAACAAAACAAAAGCAAAATACGGTCTGGATATCATCAAAACTGTTTTTGTGTTTTTTCATGCACAGAAAACTTCAAATTTAAAAGGAATAACAATTAGAAAATATAAAATCAGCGGACCTGACGAACCATATGTTCGAGTAGCCACACTCCTTAATATCTTTGGATCGCACAGCAAACGCGAAACAGACCGGCTAAAATTCGTCAGAATCCGTGAAGCCATAAGACGTGTCTTTAAAAAAAAGAATTAAGCGATGTTTTAATACAGATGTGTTAGCGACCGCGTACTAATTTAGGATATCTTATAAAATAATTAAAATGAAGAGAACATTTAAAAATCATGCACTCAGTTTACAAATAAAAATGAATTACAGAAATTAAGGCTTTAAATAAATAAAAACGCCATTAAGTTCTGAATGAAAAAATCTACAGTCTTAAGGGCACTTAAGAGTTCATCGTCCAGACAACACAGTAGTCCGAGTCTTCTCTCGTGGTTTTAAAATAATAACAGACGAAGCACAACCACTGTCAACAATAGATCACTCTCCCGAACGCTCCTACTGCATCTCATTTGGGCACAACACAAAATTCGCACACAAAGAAAAGACGAAAAATTCGACCACCATCAGCAGTAGAAGCAGCAGCTACTCATCTGTCGTCAAGCGTTGTTTAAGAAGCCATCCTGTAGTGATGCTTACAAATTTAGCACATTTTGTGACCATTTTAACAACTTTACCCACTTCGTAATGCAATACATATAAATAAGGATTAAAGTGAGAGAAGCGCTAAGAAATGTAGTGTCGATAAGATTTACTGGAGATACAATCGATAAACGAACTGAGATTGACAACAATGAAGTAACGCTTTAAAGGATTAATATAACCGTTGATTCGCTAGATCAGTTTCTTCAAGAACTTAGCAAACAAGAACAATACACTAGTCACTATTTTTCTTGCCTAGTTTGCATAGCTTCGCCAATAAACCTATCTCAATAGGAATAGGAAATACGAATACTTTTTGTATAAAGACTCACTGCCTTACATAGAAAAAACTTTAATGTAAATGCAAAACCTAGATTTTGACTACAGTATAACCACAATTCTACTTTAGATTTTAAGATTAAGAATGCACACAAAGATATGTTTAACTAGATTTAAGATTTTTTTTAAATATAGTGATACATGCAAAAAGTGAAGGTAACACAGGAATATAATAATTCCTTCATCAACAGAAGCAGCAGTTTTTTTTTTGATAGACAAGAAAAGAATTGAGGTATAAGTAGTGGGAATCCCTTTTTGTCGAACTGCCTCCTGGTTGAACCCTCCTTGGTTCTTGGTAAGTTTACCAGATTTAAGATCTTTTTTTTTTGTGTCCCAATGCTTAAGATTTTTTTTTTTAAGATTAGGGATTAAGAATCTTAAGATTAGGACACATGCAAAACATGAAACTAAAGCAGTACAGATTTCTGTGAGAATCTGTTCTGTGAACACATTCATTTAATTTCCCAGTCCTTATTGTTATAACCTTTTTGCTACTAATTTTAATATTTGTAGGGAAGCTAGTAAATCTAAAGCTTCTGCCTCGTTGCAGCATTGCTAATTGTTGCCCTTTCTGTAAATGCTACCACATTACTGCTTTTTCTATTACAACAACGACTATCTTCCTAAACTTAATTCCTTTCCACTACCATAATTTTCAATTTTTTCAATCAATTTCATCCCTCACTTTTTCTAGTGCTTCCATATGCATGCCGATGGGACGTTTCTCAACATTGTATCCACAAAGAAAAACCATTATAATTTTACCAAATCAACGTATGTCAATTAACGAAAATGTAAAAGCAAAAATCGCATCACGGGGAAGTGAGAAACAAAAGAAGGCTCAAACCTAAGACTGTACTGATAGTGAAACATCTCTTTTATGGAAAAATCCGTGGGAAAATTATTCCTCTCATGTAGCTGGTTGAACAACCGAAATCTGAGTAAAATTAAGGACCGAATTACGATATTCTCATTATACAGCTGTTGCGTCAAATTACAACTGTTCTAATGACAAGATGAAGTAAACTTTAAAAAAATCAAAGAGTAAAAAATCTCAGCACGTGTCAATGAATTTCTTTGAGTTTCCACTGAAAGTTCATGGCCTGAATTAGTCGATCAATTCCGACGCTTTGATCCGGATACATCTGTTTCATAGCGCCACTGAAAGTAAATAAATGGTGCTTATTTTGCTCCATAAAAAAGAAAGCAATGGGGAGTTCATTGTATTAGGACATAAGACCCGGAAAAGAAAGAGATAAACGTTATGTATTGGTGAAGATAACCGCACGCCAAAAGTTTCGAAACTTTATAACATCTGTTAAAAATCTGCATAAGCCAACACCTAATAACTTTAACACTGTACATAAGCTGAAAAGAGAATTACAATGAAAAGGCGATGGTTGGATGCAAGTCTTGGAAATGTCCACGTTTTATCATTGATTCTAATAAGAAGATCACACTGTTGATATCAGTAACTGCTTGAGGAGCTTCTGACTGCAGATAATTATAAATGACATAAAAAATTCCACATCAAACCTCCTTAATTAAAAATAATCAGCAGAAAGCATCTTCAAGAACTGAACTTATTAATTAATATAAAAGGTACATCAGTTTTTGATAATCACTTCATTAAAAACTTTTTGATGATAACTTCCATTAAAAGCAAGAAAAGGAAGAGTTGCCATCATTTCGAGCATTTAGATTTCTAGTAAAGGGTATTTTTTTTGCAAAATGCTAAATACGTTGACAAAAGCCAATCATACATGAAAAAGTAACAAACCCGAACAACACCTGCGAATGCCAATAGCTGATTACATATTGATTCTGTCGCTGAAACTGGTTGACGCTTGACTTTTTTCGCTGCAGTCAAAATAGCATCTGCAGTTATTCACACAAATTGCACTTTACATTTAAGGAATTAGGATAAACATAATTAAAGAACGACATTCCGAAAGATGGTTACTTTCTGTCACTTAAAAAGACGTCCCGCATAAATCATTATTTTCGCCAGCTTTCTAGGAACTGTTTTATGATCAGCCGACTCCTATTTCTTTCGCTACGCTCTACGCTCAAAAATTTTAGAAAAAACACACTTCACAAGTCATCAAAGATTTTATAAGTAGGATTCTAATAAAAAAACGGAACGATAATCCATCTGAAGATTTAAGGGAAATGCTATGCAAAGTATCAATATTTCTTCGAAAACTTCTTGCTAAAAAAGGAACTGACCTGTCAATGTTACGATCTTCTCTTTCAATACTTGCTTGTTAGAATTTTCCACAGAAAGCAATGCACAAAAGGAATACAATAAAGCTGATGTTATTTCCTGAGTCCTTCCATATAAATCAGTCTGAAACATGTAGTAAACGCAGTGATAACCGTAAATACAAAAAAGAAAATATACTGAAGATAGAATGTCTTACGAAAGTTATATGAACAAAAGATCAGTAACAAGGAAAAAGTAGTATACATGCAGTGTTTCCACAAAAGTTTTCATATCCAATAGCAAAACATCCAGCAGAGCAACTGATGGATTTTTTATAAATAAAATTATATCATCCTGAAATTTTTACATAGATAAAAACATTAAAACAAAACAGAAAAAAATGGTTGCCATAAAATCAATTTACAAACAGTCAGCCACAAAAAAATTATTAGACTCTTGAACTTAACCATAGTTAGGTGCGCGGAACCATTATTAAAATTTTCGGTGTATTTATCACCACTTTTATCCCATAGTTTTCGTCCATCGACAATAGATATTTCCTCCACCAAAGAGCCTTGATCACTGCTATAAGTGATGCCAGACAAGTCATGTATTTTATCGGCTTGCTTAGATCGTAAAGAGAAGTCAGCAAATAACAACATTACTTTCAGAATGAATTTAAAGAATCCAGGGAACACAGATGCAAAGCCATATTATTTTACCCTTTTTGCTTCAGTTATTTTACAACATTTAAGTATGGAATTGCCATTCATCTAAAGCAATAAAGAAAATTAATTCCAATTTTCCTGATCAAAATTCTACCTTTCACTCCCAAAATCCAGAAACTGAATATACGAAAACTCTTCTTTCATTTCACTGAAACGATGTCCAATATTATTAGAATGCAGCGAAAGCCGTTCCAAATGAAATCCACCACTTGAAAAAATACGTACAATCTGCTGTATTGCATCGGCTCCTAAAGCATTCGAAGAGAAGTCCAAAACCTATAATTATAGTTTGAAAATAACTGTGAAACAAGCCTTAATATTATAGACATATAAATGAATATCAAATATAATTCCCAAATGAAATCCAATGCCCAATTTCAAAAGATTTTAAATTAATATGAAATCAAATAACCAATCCAATGGTAGTCTAAATAATCTTTGATAAAAAAGCCGTTATCATATCCTATCTCAATTCAAGGATTGGAAAAATTCTACTCAATGCAATTCAGCTAAACCGGTAAGTTTCTGCTACGAATTGTGTAATACAAAACACAATACAGGATATTTTACCACTAAAAACTGTTTTGCATCACATATTTTATTACTTCAAATACATTTAAAAACATATATTGCCAAGCATCAAGTAAACTATCAAGTGTATATTCGGCTAAAAAATAATACCTTCAGACGTAGATGTGTTGACGAATTTAAATTTGCTGCCACAGCCAAAATTCCACGCTCATGACAAGCGCAAGAACTGAGATCCAGAATTTCAAGTGAGCGTAATGAAGGTAATACCTGAAAGTAGTGTTAACTGATTTCCTAATCGGAATTGAAGTGAACAACTAAAATCACGTCCTCAAATAAGAGATTTATAGTGCGTACGCATATACCCCAATAGAGTTGGTCTTTCAACGAATACACAACAGAGAGCTTCGTCCCATTTTTGTATAACTTGTTATTAACAAACAACCTATTTAAAAAATCAGGCAGAAAAGCAACGAGTTTATGATCTACTTACTTCAGCTACAGAAATGGCGCCTTCAAATTCTAACGTATTTCCACTGAGAACGATGACCTTCAAGTTTGGATTGCTTCTGAATGCATGAACCAACTGCACCATACCTTCAGCAGTGATACCATTCTGGCTTAGGTTCACTTCTTCTATGCTCTGCATATTCTGCAGCGGATAAACAATAAAGCTGTTGTTTTCTAACATAAGCTAATATTCTATTTATTTCCATGACTTCACTTTGCTACGACAACTCCCTAGTAAGTTGCTCACTTATACTTCTATTAAATGATCAGCAATAATCTTATCTCCAAAGTAACTTTTCACGCTTGTTAATTTTATGCATGAGTAGATGTCACTTTAAATTTATAACATTGTTATGAATAATGATTCACCATTTCCATACGCTTTCGCAGAACCTCTGCAATTCTCGTGCATGCGTTAATACCTATGTAGTTTCTATGCAAATCCAAGACCTTCACAAACTTCCGAGACAATAATGCCTGAGTGACAGCTTCCACTACAAATGAAATCCAGATACAAAGCTTGCTTCTCTATTTGTTTTGTGCATTTCTAATATTTCCCTTTTACACTTTATATCATCAATAGAATTTATCATAAAATGAACATTATTAGTGATTCCTTCATAAAAGTAAGAAACGAATAACAGAAACAATTAGTAAATAAACGAATCGAATGTTTTATATAACAATGCAGAATCTTATAAACAACATTTATAATAAAAAATAATTTTTTCGTAGACTGAGGAGAAATGCAACTCAGTGTCGAGTAGAAATTTTAGCTTAAAAAATTTTTTTTGAGACAAAAAAAAGAACCAAGGCTAAATTTAAGAAAAGTTATGCTCACCGTCGTCTTCAGAATTCCATTGTTGATTTTTGAATGAAATTACTGTTTGATAGTCATCAGCTTCCAAAGACCTATGAAATGTGGAACCTGGAATTATTTTACAAATTCATTGCTTATCGGCAAGAAAATTAAAAACCAACCAACAGTTCGAAATAAATATAGCATGGAAGAATTTATATAGAAAATATGTTTTAAGTACTGCTAGACTGATCTTAAACAGTCCGTTAGTGATTATTTTGCAACAAAGTATCAACGGAACAAAAGAACTGATATTCGCAACTAGCATAGCACTTTCCTATTTTCACAAAGTATCGAAAATATTTTTAAAAAAGAAACGAAAATACTGTAAGTAGGAATACCATCTTTCATTTTTTCATAACCACTTTCATTATTCGAATAACTGGAATGGCTTTCTTCCGAATAAAATTCTTGACAAACGTCATTTCCTTCATCTTCATCCAGTGTCCCTTGATCATCACTGAAATCATGGCTCGAATAATGAAAATACCATCACCGAACTTACTTCATTGAGTTACAGGCAACAACTGGATAACAGCGTCTGCTTCGAATACATCTCAGTAAGCATGATAAAATTAAGACTTTATCATCTACTTTAATGCAAGAGAGTTCAAATTGAATAAGATCACCAATCAAGGGTACAAAAGAGAAAGTTTGTTGACCAACGTTGTTAGTTTTTGTCAATGTCAGGATATAAGTGTTGTTTAACATACAGCCTATATTTTTTCTTTTTTTTGGAAAGTAAAGCAAACAAAAATTTTTATTAGTTCTTTCTTGAAGTACGAACCAACCTTTCTTCGCCCAAATCGATAAAACTATATTTGTTACATTTCGATTTAACTTCGTCAAACTGAGCTCCCATATTGTTTGTGTGCAGTACCAGGGATTTCAAATGCAAACCTTGGCTGACTCTGTCAAGAATTATTTCAACCGCACGTGGACTCAGTTCATTCCCTGATAAGTTGATTTCCTAAAACATACGTAATTTCTGTATGGGAATTCATAAATCGTTGCATTTAAAAAGAAAGCAAAAAGTATACTTTTCACTGTCCTTGACTATTTTGGTACCGAACCATTTAGATTTTATCGAAATGGAATTTTTTACGCTTTCTATTGATTTAGAAAAAAAATATATTGGCTTAAATTTTATTCTAACCCAACTACAGTTTTAACAGAAGATTTCAAATAACAAAGGTGAACACAAAGTAATGAGAACAATATTGGAGGTAACTATATCTGAAGATATAATTCAAATCCATCCATTCATAGAACTATTGTTTTCAATCAGCTGAAAAAATTCCAAATAGCAGACCTTTAAGTGCGAGTGAGATAACAGAGAAATATTTGAAATTATAGCTAAAGCACCTTTATCTCGGCATAAACAGTCACCAAAGTTCAAAATTTCAAGATTCATCAGATCCCGGACTACCTGAAAAAATTGGTAAAAAAAAGAAAAATTGAAAATCAAACAAAAGTTCATTAACATCAACAGGGACACCATAACCACAAATTTCTTTTAATACAAAGATTAGTTTTACGAAATTATTTTTGATGTGAATAAGTTTAATCAAATTATATTTCGGAGGCCTTCGAGTTTGAATCTTATATTTCATTGGTATCGTTGAATTACTATGGATTCATTGATTAATCGTTTCATAGGCAATAAAAAGGTATATAGTGGCAATGAAGATCTGCAGAAAAGTTATGTACGATGAAAAGACAAAAAATTACTACAAAAAAGTAATCAAACGCAACAACCTTTGCCATTGCACAAGCTCCACTCACAGTGAACGTGTTATCACTAAGATTGATTATTCTTAAATTAGGATTATATCGAAATGATTCTGAAAGAGCTTCAATTCCCTTAGCTCTTATGCCATCTTGATACATCGTTATCTCTTCCAAAGAGCCCAAAACCTGAACAGACTTGCAACTCATTTCCGAGTTTCTGAAGATTAAGTTAGCTAATAATTTTGAGTGAATCATGATTCCAGCTGGAACTACTAATTTTTAGTTACTTCACCGGAAATATAATTATACACTTTAAACAGATAAAAAAGATTCTCAACGATAATACTTGGAATGCTTCTGCCAAAGCAAAAGCTCCAGGATCCTCCAAACGATTCCTACCAGCAACAAAAGTTTTTAGTTGAAAAATCTGTCCATCCTTTTGTGCATTTATATGACATCGTATAAGTGCTTTTCCAATAATCTGAAATTTTTTAATAGAAAAGATATAAATCTGTTCGAGATGAATTCAAAAATTGAATTATGCTAAATCTAATTACAAAATGTTTAAAATTAATTTGCCTTTCCTCCAGCGCCTAAGCCATTGTTATTCAATTTCAGTACTTCTAGCGAATATGCCGAAGAACTTTCCAGGAACTCCTCAAGTCCTTTTGCTCCAACTGGGCCGAATGCATTATCCGAAAGGTCTAATTCGACTAATCGAGTCCCACATCTGATCATGGAACCACACAGGAAACGCTAAAAGTTTCACTTTGTGTTTCTCTTCAAAATATGTTTGAAATTAAAAAAAAAAAATAAGGAATGAACGTATGTGACTGCAAAATCCTTCAACTTCTAGCATATTGACATGAAGTTTAGACGAAAACTTGTCTGAGTAAAATGATATTTCCACATAATAAGCCAAATCATGTTATCAAGAGTATGAGAGCTCTCAACATCAGATATATTTAGATTTAGAATAATTTAAAATCACTTTTCCGCAATTGAATTCGCCTACTCTAAGGTAAATCTTTTTTAAAATATAACAATGAAGTCGAACCAGAATTGGAGGAATCTCTTCTTTCAGTCGTCCGGTAAACATATCACTCCACAATGCTCGCTGGAAGTAACTGATTGGAGTTAAAGAAGTTAAGGATAAAGAACCATATATATACATATATATATATATATTTATAATCAATGAGGCACCATCTCTAGATTGAAATTCCAACGAATTAAATGACATCAGTGACCACCTCAAATTAATATCCAAAACTGCTGGTTATCCAAATCCACATGAAATCATGGAAATGGTAAGTTATGGAAAAAGCCAAAGGCAAATTGAAACAGTCTGGCATTTGAGTTTGTCATTATCTTGCTTTCATAACTTACTTTTTTCTTCTTTTCTGCAACTGAAATAGTTCCGTCTCACGCATTTTAACTTTCGTGCAAATTCGCAGTTAGCTTTGCAACTTTGTGAATCTAATCAACTGGAGAGATTCGTGAATCTTTATGATTTATGAACATAGGAAAAATGAAATAGAATTGAACCTCAGTTCTAATATGGACAAGTGCTAAAGTAGTAAATACAAAAAAAGTATGCGTAAAGCGATAAAAAAGGTTTTTCATTAAATAAAATGTAACTACTGATCGACTAATATAATACAGCAATTGCAAAATAAAATACATATGAGTATACAGTTGGCCTATAATAACAAATGATAGGTTTTAGAAAAGAGAAAGCCCTGATCGCTCTGACCACCAATTTCTAAATATGTTCTTAAGTTTAAAGTCTATAATCTACAAAATCGAAACTCAAATAGAAATCCGAAATCTGTAGACATATTCTTGGCAAGATGAGTCAGGAACTCGATTTAGTTACGAATTGTTTTGTTTTCTGGAATTTATTTAAATAACGTCATAAAATAAAATAACCTTTAGTTCAGGATGAAATTCTAGTGCATGAGAAAGTCGCTCTCCAGCTCCAACGCCTATAGTGTTACCTCTTAATTCTAGAACTTCTACAATATGAGCATTCTCTATAACTTTCGCCATTTTTTCAGCTAAAACAAGTACTTCATATCTTCTTAGAAAACACATTGAACAACATTATGGCTATCTCATTAATTTAAATTGGACATTTAAAATATTCAATAAAAAACAGGACACAAGAACTGAACTAGTCATCCTACTTAATCAATCAAGTGAAGACTTCCATAAAGATCTTCGTTAGGACTAATACTAAAAACTATAGCTATCTCAAAAGATTATTAAAATTGAAAAATAAAAAAATTCAAAATTTTGGAGAAATCACATGCAAATTTATGAAATATCCCTAACATTCACAACTTTCGCAATCTTATGAATTCCTTTTAGTTATTTCCTTACAACAAGCATAAGTCAAGAAATTTTCAAAACAAGAAAAAAAGCGTAATAATAAACCATCATTTTCGTTATCCAATTTTTGCTGTTCGTCACGGAATGAAAGCATCCATTCACCATTTACCTCGACCGACTCCTTCATTATTACTTCAGCTTCAACAAAATCTATCAAACTTCTAATACAAATTCTTTAAATAAATGAAGCTTACGATTATTCAAAGCTGACTTTAAGAGAATACCAACAATTAACATTAACATGAAGATGCTATAGCCAAATGATGAAAACGACGTAACTGCCTCCGGATAAATGCAAACAAGGTCCATACATCAAACATAGATTATTGTTTTCTTCAAGGACAGACAGAGAAAATATAGTTTCTGATCTAAACTCTTTTCAAGCAGAATTGAATTCAAAGTACATGTGAGAAAGATAAAACTATTTTGTAAAGAAAAAAGAAAAATTATTGAAGGATTTTTATTTTCATTTGAACGTAAAAATAAGAAAATAGATAAAAGAAAAGACACTGATGAAGAAAATCGTCAATAAATAAAATTATCAAAGGAAAAGAAATTTCCATATAGCTGGCGAGACAAAAAATGCCACGTGAATATAATGAAAATAGAACAATAATTTTGCTCTCATCATTATTCTACTTTCAGTTCTGCACAAAGACAGATAAAATTAATTTCTTAGTAAGTAAGAATGAGCAGTTTATCGATACGAAAATATAAACGTTCTTCTCTTCGTCATTAATTAAGTGTAATTCAGAAATAACTCATTTTTACAGTGAATTTCATGTGTAAGCATTGTTATGAAATCATAGAACTAACAGCAATGATAAATATAATCCCTATTATCCAAGAATTAAAAATCTGTATATTTAATCATGTTTCAAAAACTTTTACATAATGAAATGGGTGCTAATACAATAATCAAATAAGCATAAATATTTGCTTTAATTTCTTTACATTCATTTTTGAAACTACAAATTCATAAGACAACATACATCAGTTTAGGTCAACATTAAACACATTAGAAGTTACCGCATAATTTCTCAGTCCATTTGGAATGTTCATGCTTTGTTAAGAAAATATGAAGAGAAATAATGAAATTAAAAAATTAAAGAGTTCAAAACGTCATATGAAATACATACCTGTCTTATGGAACATATTTCAATTAAAGCATAAAACAAAAGAGATTAATCAAAGAACTATTTTTGTGACATCAATGGTTCTTTCAAACCTCGTTTTAGCGCTTTGCCTTCTGAATGCAGTTGCTGCATCTTACTTCCAACACATGAAAAATTTTTTGAAATCGGTGATAGAGTCTTGGATGGAGCGAATGCTGCACTGCTTGATCTGAAAATGTTTTCCAGTAATTCACTTTCGTTTTTTTTTTTCTTTGTCTCAAATGATTAATAGCAATCACAGATGCAAACCAGAGATTTAATTACGTTATTATACTAAGTGCTACATAATGCAAATCGTTCATAGATCAAATTATAGTATATTCGGGGATGGAACATGCAAGCAAGTGAACCTTAATAATATTGTAAGTGTCGAACAAAATCAAAATAAATGAAGCTACTATACACAAATGAAATTGCTGATATGAACAATGGAACGAACGTAAATTTTAGCTGTGCATAAACTAGATATTTAATTAACTTTAATCAATGATATAATGAAAAGCTTACGCTAACATAGATGATTCTGTCGCGTATCTTTTAGAAGCCGTAAGAAGAACAGCTGGCATATAACTTACATCCCTGAAAAATTTTAATACATCCTCCAACAGTAAACGATGAAAATCACAGGCAAAAAATATCTAATAAAATTGTAAAAGCATATCATATAATTTTCTTGAATCAATATCATAATAAACGATACAGATGATCTTCATAAATTTTCAAAAGCATTGTGTTATGGGTAATCGTTACATTTTTGTTCAGATTTTAATTACTCATACGGTTAAAAATCCTTTAGTATCTGATGTTTCAAAGTTAACATCAATTTAAAATTAATGCTTACTGTTACCAGTAAATTCTGTTCTCTCTTTCATACTTCCACAGCCTCATGTTTTCCAAAAAGTTTTATGCAGTAGAAATATAGCGGTTATTTTAAACTGAGTCATCGGATCTACTCTTATGAATGCCATTGATTTCCCAAAGAAATAAAACCTTAACCACAGCACTTTTTCTGAACGAGTAACATAAAAATGCTGCAAACTAAAATCCTACATCTCATACACTTAGGGTTGTGAAATGTTAACGCACCGCTTAGCGGTGGCGACTACATTTCTTTGTGGTTCCTGGCCATAACTGACTGTTTCGATGCCAAAATGTTCGCTGTATTCATGAATTATGCGACGCAGCTCCGAATGCATTGGTGGAAATGAGTGACTAACAGACGTCACATTTGGTTGCTGTAATGAATGTCCTTCTCTTTGTTTGTTTCTGAATCAGTAAAGCCAAGGATGAATATGTCCCAATAAAGGTTAGAACTACACAACCACCGATGCAGACCTATTTTTCATTTCTTTGTATTTGACACAAATAAGAAATAATTGATTTGAGCAGCTTCAATGTTTATAGAGTAATTCAGTAATAAATACACTAATACAAACTAATTTTGAACCAAAGAATTGCAATGCTTCTCAACTATGAGTAAGCCAATATTGATTTCTTCATGATAATTCAAAGCAGAGAGTTAGAAAAAAAACTCATTCGTTATCAAGACAACATAATAATTGAGGATAAAAAAAAAGTGTATTTTGCATGTCCTCCAAAAAATTGTATCGGATTATATATATATATATATATATATATATATATATATATATATATATATATAAAAAATATATATAGAGAGAGAGAGAGAGAGAGAGAGAGAAGAATTATAGAGAAACTTACCGCATTTAAATCATGTAGAAGTTCAATCAATGTGTCTTCCACGTCCAAAATGTCTTTGTAATTCGTTTTTAACTTATTTTTCAAAAAAGCAGATAAAGCATCAACTGCATCTGGATGAGAAATATTTAATATTCTTGCCAGTTTTCTATTTCTCAGTGCTCGTTGACATTCTACATCGCATGGAAGGCTAAAAAATTGTTATCTATTGTTTTTAAAGAAAAACAGTAACAGCTAAAAAACCACAATAACACCACAAAGTAATAGGAAATTCGATGAGAGCAAAGAATTTTTATGTTTTACCATTTTATTTTGTATTTTTCTATTTGAACTTAACCTCATAAGCTAGCAAAATTGTTGGCGGCATTGGTCAGTTTGCAAAGATTAAAGCTAGAAAATAATCATACCAACGATATTTTTCTGCGCTTAAACTTTTTTTTAATGGACGTTTCTCGACAGACAGATTCGAATATTTATCCTCCATTACTTTTAGTGATAACAACTTTTGGTAAGCCTTTTCAACATCTGAACAAGGCATTTTAGATGATTTCCGAAGACATGAGCAAGTGATGATCACTTCAGTTGCACAAGAGCTGAAATTACAAGTAAAAATAAAAACAAGTCAATGAAATTACCAGTCAAACCGTTCGCACACTGTCATTCTTCTTCCTGCAGATTCTCACAAAACTTCGCAATAAGGATTTACCGCAACCTCATTTATTGCATGTGTATCTATTAATATTTAAACTTTCAAGTTTCCAGTTGACGACTTACATAGTGAAAAAACTATGCCTGGCAGAGAAAATCTCAAAAAACTTAGCTTTTAGGACAAGGAGTATCGCCGTGACATGGAAGGCCACAGATGTGATCACAAGATTCTCCAACTCTTTTTTTAATACATGGTTGCTGACACGAGATATCATTTACCAAGCATTGTCCTACGTGACAAATTCGTTTACATCGATGTACATTGCACAACAGTTTCTTATCACACGGGCGTCCACAAGAAACATCGTTTAAAAAGCATGGAATATTTGCGCGTATCTAAGAATAAATTTATCATTCAAGATAATTAGAAAATCCAATCAGAAAACTTTAACAACATTACTAATAGTGGAAATTTATTAGAAAAAACAGCTGGCATGATTAAGTGGCTCTGAATTTTAATTCTAAAGAGAAGGATTATCAATTTTCGATTATTCAAGTAGAACTCAATTGTTTTAAAATGATCTTAAAATGAAGAGAAAAAAATCGATTGTTGACTGATAGGCGCAATCTCAGCATAACTAAGAGGATATAATATGAGCCAATTTTCTCATATACTCAACGATGGAAAAACAGGAGATGGAACAATGGAACCCAGGATCGATCAGTATTTCACAAGCTTTTGCCAATAATAAGATTTTGAGAGAGAAACCTCGTGTGCACCGTAACATGGCTTCTGAGTAAGCACAGTACAAGGTGGACACTCAGGCTCAGCATGGCAGTTGTGCATTGGAGGATGATTACAGGAATGTTGTCGTGAACACGGCTGATTGCAAGGTGGAAGTGGTGTGCCGCACGGGATCGGTGGTTCGCGGACGGTCTGCCCACACAAACAGTGTTGTTCCTCGAAACCTGCAATGTAATGAACAAAGTGAAGAGCAGCTGGAAAATATAAAGTGATAGAATAAGTTGAACCACTTGTAGATTTTTTGAATTCTTATAAGCAAAAGCAAAACGTGAAAAAACATCACTTTGCAATATTTCAGTAATCTACAGTATTTTATATATTCATATAAATAATGAAGATGGAATACAAAGCCTGAATCTTAACTAATCGAGAAAAGTAAGACTGTGTGTACAATTTCACATTCAATTAAAAGAGAAGAATGAAAAGCAAAAATACATTTAACGTACTTGCTTGCAAACATCGAGAACATTGCCCAACGTGACATAATCGGTCACATTTATGAATTCCACAATTCAGTTTTTTACCGCAGATCTATAAAACCAAGAATTTACGCTCACTATAAAAGTAGAAAGGCGAAACAGACAAGTGCAAATTACCTGCATACAAACATGCTCCTCATCAACACAACAAACAGCACGGCACCGATGATTCTGGCAGGTCTTCAATTTTTTACACCGTCGCAGACAAAGATACGGATTTTCGGCTAGAAAATATCAATTTATGAATTAGAAACACTGAACTTTATTCATACAAATCCATACAAGTTTTCAACAAAATCGAAACGTTCTCTTTCTCGGGCTATTACAATCTTTTATTACATTAACTTAAATCTTATCCTTAGAAGGAATCACAAATAAGTGTAAAACTCAATCTTGTTTCAAATAAGACACACACTCAATCTTGTTTCAAATAAGTGCATACTTTGGATGACTATTAAAATATTTCAATTTCCAGGAGGAGTGTTATTAATGGCACTTTTTAAATGAGGTTAATGTTAATTTTTCTTCTGAGAACGCTCAGACATAAAATTCATACCTGAATAAAGAATAAATTCTTTGCATGGTATTATTTTTTTCAAGGCTTTACACCTGCAACTTATCAAACAACTTGAAGGGCAACCAGAACAGGATCCCACATGACATAGTTGAATGCAGCGATGCGGTTGATCTGAAATTATAACCGATACACTGAGCTCGTTTTATCCATTATAAATATTTCCATAGATAGTAAAATTATAAGCAGGAAAAGAACCGCAAAAAGTTTTTTTTGCCAATTTACATGCCATGACATAAAAAGATGTTCACAAAGATAATTTCCATCCGTACATCAGAAATGATGGATGAAATCCAATTACTAGGATAGTGAATAAAATACAATTTCGAATATTGAAAATGATAATGTTTTGCATTCTACAGCTTCAGCTCTAAATACAAACACTGACAATATTTTACGGGTCATTAAAATGTATACCCTCTGGACCACAAGCTAGAACTTTGCCGCAAACACTTTTGCATGTGGGAACTGGATCAGTACAAGATGTTCGCTCCATATTCAGTAGCTCTGCAATAAGTGTTCGTCCACAGGGACAATATTCCTTCTTTTTTGGTGATAAACTACACAGTCCACAATCATCTTTTCCATGTTTGTCATGACATCTGAACTAAGTTTTTTTGATTTACAAGAAGCACCTTTTTAATCTTTTGGTCTATTCTCACAGCGTAATTTCTCTGGAATTGGTGAAGTCGTATGATAAAAAATTAGAAAAAAAGGTCAATTTCTCCATTTTTTTTTAAATAAAATCTAATATCTGGGAAATATAATCAGAATAAAACTGACAAGTTATCAACAATTTTTAATTCAACTACAGGGATTAATTTCTAGGAAATTTCGTTTTATACTAGCACCCATGTTCACTGAAACCCCAGTCCTTTGTAAAAAAGAAGGATAGTCAATGTTATTTATCTATTTTTTTGCTATGTTATGTTATTTTTTACAATATCGATGCTACTATCGGATAATATTTAATAAATAATAGATTTTTGGTGTTGAACTTCAATCCATAATTTTGTACTTTTTACACGTAGTTTTAAGCAAAAAAAGTATTTTTTCCTGTAACATTAGCGAGGGAACAGGAGAATTCATGAAAAAGGATTAGGTAAAAGAATATGAATTACTTGAGTTCGCATTTATGTACACCGCATGCATACATCCCAGTGCATGGAGCACCACAACTAAATGAAGTAACTTTCAAATTTAAAGCTGTACAAGGCACGACACGCTCTTCAAGACCACAAAAACATTCTGAAACGATTAAAAAGCTAATTGTTAAAAATTTGAATTTAGAAAGTTATATAAGTATTTATACATAAATATTTGTGATGCTGTTGTCAGATTATTTCATTAAGAAAAAAAACTTGGATAAATTAAATTGAGGAAATTACTTTGAGTAACAACATATTCACAAACGCTACAATCTCCTTGGTGACAAGTAACTTCGCATTTATGTAACCCGCAATTGAGCGTCTTCCCACACACCATTGAGCACTACAACAATTTTCAATCCCTCAAAAGACTACAACAGTTAAAAATAGTTTGTTAACCAGTAACTGTTAAGTTCAATTAATCGTAATGGGTAAGTTTAAGCCCAAGACATCTGCTTCTGATGACACCGTCTCATCAAAAGAATATATCTAAATTATTACAAATTATCTACACGTCAGTTCTTGGTATTACTAAGCCAACAAGTGAAACATGACAATCTACGCAAAGTTGAATTCCAAGGTGAAAAAAAGAACGTTTACCTTAAATTCCAGTTGCTTACCGCAGCGACCAGCAATAGTCTCCCGGCCACAGTTGCATTTTTGAGTAAGCGTAAGCGGACATTCTGCACAAGGCCCTGGATGACACTGGTCTGTACACGGATGAGTACAACCGGCACCACGAATTTTCCCACAAACTGAATTGCAGGAGTGAGGCATATCCGGGAATCTAAATACAGCTTTTTATGAATGTGAAAAATAAAAGCTTTAACCTTTATTTTTCTAAAACAACATAGTGAACAAATTCCCTTGCCTAACATTAAATAAATGGAAGATCTTCTGACCACCTCCAAGACGTATGCATGACCAAGCTCTGACATTTAATTTCGATTAGTCCAACTGTTTAATAAAAATTGGTCCTACTCACTAATAATAATTTTGAAAGACAAAATTACGTGGTTCTTGCTTAGAAACAAGCCGTTTTTTATTTTTTAAAATTAGGAAGAATCTTTTCAAATCGCTTTAGAAATAAAAAAATTGAACTAAAAATTTGATGGTGAAAAAAATATAACATATATAAAAACGTAATATTTTTCCGATACCTTTGTGTTGGAGGATTCAGCTTTTTAGTACAGAAACATCGATACTGTTTGGGAATTTCAAAAGTAACATTCTGACAACTTGGGCAACGCCAGCCGATATCTGCTTGGAAACTTTTAGCTGCCCATTGCGTTATGCAACCATATGAATTCGCACGATTAATATGGAACATATGGTAACATTTTTTGCAAGTCCATATCCACTGAAAGAGTTCGTGCTTTCTTTAATAAAAACAAAATTAAAAAGTCTAATGAAAACTGGTTTATCATCTAATAATTTTGAGCTATTTTTTGTAAGCAAACGATGAAATAAAAGCTATCAAACTACTGCTAACCTCATTCACTGGTGGAAACCGTGAAACACTAATTAAAGTGTAAAATGAACTCTTAAAACAAGAATAGCAGGAATAACTGTGGTCGACCACATCCAGAAGAATAACTTTGTTGAGTTACCTTTATCTCGCTTAGGAGATGATAAGAATTTTTATTAACCTGGAAATGAAGTACAAAAATGAAAGAAGTACCTCACTGGCACGTATGACTTGGCAGCAAATCATGCACTCATAGCTTTCTTCTTCCAGCTGCTTCTTCAGCCTATCTGAAAATTTAAAAAAACTGATCGATATAAATCTCGAGTGAAATTTTTCAGATTTTAAAATATGGAGCAATGAATTACTCTACAGTTTGTAGCAATGTCGATACTTTATTAATCATTCAAGGTCATCATTCAAGACTGGTTTCGAATAGAAATGGTGTTTCAGTCATAATCAAGAATGTTACACATCATTTCGTCTTTCTTGTTGTTTCTCCAAATCATAACATGGCTCTCAAATCAAGGATAAAGACCAAACTTTATCTAGATATGCGTTATAGATTGTAGCAAATATTATATCTGCTCGAATAAAGCACATATTTCAGACAATTCAAACAAACAACAAATTGACCTCGTAATGTTTGCAGTGATTCATGTTCGCGATGAGCCATCTCCTTATTATTTCGAAAAGTTCCGTTTACAGAAAGCGGTGTTACTGAATTAGAATTATCTGAAAATAAAAGTAAACACTATACTTTTCAATCTTAGATATTGTTCTTAACAAATCCTAGGTTATCAGAACATTGAATAGATGAAATATGAAATGTGTAAACAACCAAAAAAGAATTGGCAAAGTTTTTATCTAAATTTTGAAAAAAGAAAGGCAAAAAGAAACTGATATAAGTTTTCAAAAATCATCTGATTTTGTATGGGAATGTTAAGTGAACATGTTATCTTTATTTGCACGCCAATCCAAAAAAAAAGAAAAAAAAAAAAAACCTTAAATCATACTATAAGATCATTCGATGCTCCTAAACGCGAATTATTTATAAGAACCAAAATATTTGTTGATCCTATATGAAAAAAATGATTTTCCCCTTTCCCTGACTACAAAACTAATCAAGGTTAACTGATTTCAAGTAACACTCATTTTCGCCTAATGGTAAAATACTTATTCGAAAATTTTCACCGTAGAAACTTTGAAAAATTTTATGACGGTAACAAAATGTTAACATTACTGAAAAGGTAAATGACAGAAGTATTTGCGTTAACCTTTAAAAAGTCGACAATCATGTGGTGCTGTAATCAACTCAGTTTGACCACGATAGCTCTCCATAACATATGAAGGCGGACAGCCATAGCCTTCTTGGGCGTCAGCTAACCCACCTTCTAAAGTTTATCTCCAAAAGTGAATTTCTTTTTTTTTAATATTTATTTTTTATTACTTCTAGAAGTAATCGTTTGCAGGAGATGGAATTTTATGGGAATGAGAAGGTAATGAAAATTGTACTACGTCGAACCAAACTACGATATATTTTTTTAAAGCACTAAGCAATTAAGAGATATTTGAATAATCAAAAGTCTAATAAATAGTCTCAAGGGCTAATGAGTATTATTCTAGGAAGTAAATGAACGGTTTTATTTGTGCACTGACCAAGAGAGATTGGATAATCTTCACTTTCCCTTATCTTTTTCTTCCATTATACAAACAATCAGTACAAGTTCAAATCCTAACTCTCATTACTTTGCAACCAATAAATCAAAGTAAACAAAAAGACATATACCTAAGCTTAGTCGCGATAACTGCTCAGATGGAAGTTCTTGACAATTATGCCGCAAATCCTTGATATCTTTCCTTTCTGTTTTGCAACGATGCATTTTTCTACCTCTTCTATAAATTGGCATTAAAATTCAAATAGATGCTTTTGAGTCTTTTATCTCTTACAAAAGCAAGAAAAGTAATGAAAAATATTGCAGATAAACAAAAGTCGCATTAAAACTAACATAGAATGACGATTATATGCTGAGGACGATGATGATGATGGATGAATAGCACCACTGGCATTTAAAGATAAAGGAGGTGCTACAATAATAATTCATTGATTAATACATTGCACGCATCATTAGTAGAATGTAAAAAAGCTCTGAAGATAATACATATTAATATGATAATTAAGGCAAATTATATTCAGTAAAAATGACCGCATAAAAAGTTACCATCTTTATGAAAGCGAGGCAAATAACTGTTAAACTGATATGATGGGGAATGATTCATAAAAGGTGCAAACTGCATTTCGAACTGAGCGTCTCTTTCACAAGGTGGTACCACATTGGCATTAAACATATTGGCGGGTAGTACACGCGGTGGTATGTCAAAAACAGCAGGTGGAGGTGTTGAAAATTCCGCAAACGGACCAAAAAATGCCGGATGATTACGATAACCATAATAAGTCGATCTACCTAGAAATTATAATAGTAATATTTAATTTTCATTTGTTGACCACTATGAAGAGCTAAAAGTGCTACTGACTTATCGTGCATCAGTAGGCAGTATGAGTATGGCACTGCATAAAATGAATTCAAATAAAATACAATCGCATCTTTTGTAAGATTTTGTAAGAGTCTACAATATTAGTTGCTTAATTTGAACAGATCAATTCAAATTTATCATCCTATTAAACAATTATATAACATACCTCCTCTCCATCTTCCACCGAAATATCGCCAGTTTTGTGCTGTCGTTATCTGTGTACCATTAGTAGAATGATTATTATTGACAGTATCCGATGCTTTTGACACGTCCTTTTGCATACTTCCAGAATATCAAAGTAAATTCGGTGATTGTTTGGACGGACTTCTGAAACAAAAAATTTATGATTTATAGTATAGGCTTATGTGAGTTATGGAAATGCAAAAAAACAAAACTCCTCGCTGCATTATTTGAAACAGAGAAGTTATAATACCCAGACACCTATCTCCTTTAAATTTAATTTCCAGTTCTATCGAACTACTATTCAATGGGATCTAAGTGGAGTGAAAAGTCCACAAAACCTAATGGAGTACTATTTCGGTCAAAAATTCTGATCTTAGCTTGTAACCAAGAAACTATCATTTGCAAGTATGCGATTTCGGAGTAAGCAAGTAAGGATGGCGTGTTGGCTACTTCGTTCAACTAAGGAATAAGAAAGAGAAGGAACTGAAATGAAAAAAACTTATTCACTTCTTATTTAATGAAGCAAGCTTGGCATCATCATTCTTCCTTCAGTTACTGCTACAGAGAGTGTGTGTAAAAGGTTAAAGAACTAGTAAGCTGATTAGTAATGAATACCATATTATTAGTTATCATTAACCATTAGCCAATATATTTACTGATTATCACTAAATGACACCACTACATCCATCACCAAACATCAGTAACCAAACGCTGAATTTGTCTTAGAAGAACTAGAAAGATGGAAGAACTACGACACAGGCTTAAGCTACACGATACCAATGCAAGTTTATAAAATCATCTGAATGAGATATGCGCAAACAACACGTGGTAATCATTAATGATGTCGGGAAACTTTCATATCGCTGCACATGTGCACTTCCCTTCATGGTGACAAGCGTGCAGTACGACAGTTGACTTATTCATCCCTTCATTACAATCATCAAATACTACAGAAGCCGCCCGTCTTTTACTTTATAATGAAATGGGGAAAGGGTAGAAATTTAAATTGAATGGAAATCCCGAACTTTCTCAAGACATCATTTGACAGTGATGTATTTCATTGCCGTTTGGTAAGAGTAATGATTTCTTCTTACCGGAAGAATCCACCGGTCTCACTGCATGCTATCATATACATCAGTCATTTAATCATACTTTGTTCATGCATTATGCATTGTGTAATGAAATCCTATACTGTATTAGCAATAATATACACAATTTCATATGTAATTTTGAGAAATTTAGAGAATTATGCAGCACTTCTGAGATAACCCCTCTGATGACATGTTGCACTTCTCAGTAGACTCTCTTTATTTCGGACCTCATGCAGTTCATAATATTTTAGGTATTTTAAATGTTTTCTCTATTTGGAAATTAGTTTTAATCTACCGTAAACTACCTAAAACTGCTATCGAGTCGGTGGATTTAATAACTTCCATATAGTTTCTCTTGATCATTTCACCTAGACCTATCATTCTCTTTTATGATACTCGCAACACTGTGGTGGTCAGATAATCTAGTTTAAATCGAAATTCGAGAATGAGTGACTGTGCGTGAACTAACAGAATCAGAATTTTAGAGGTTGCGTTATGTTGTCACCAGATATAAAATAATGAATATAATCTGATGAAGCAGGGAGAGTGCATGGATGCCTGTCCTGACGGCTGGTAGCGCAGAGACGAAGAACGTCGACACAGCAAGGCGGAGAATAGTGTGCTTTGGAGAGAATTAGGGATGTTAATGCCTAAAAAGACAGTGCTAAGGCGATATGGAAGAGAAGGAGGGAAAAGGTTGGGGATTCAGACAAGAGCAGAGAGTATTTTGCTTGCTGATCTGAGGTGACAGGAAGTAGAAATCACCTCGACCCTGGCCAAAGGGCTGTCCTACTCCCTAATTTTCTTCGAGTATTGCTAGCATTGTGTAGTAGTAAGTTAGAAAAAGGATGCACATATTAGTGACAGGGATGTGGATGAATAAATGATAGATAAATGAACTGACAGATGGATAAATAGAAATAGCAATGAAGTGATAGGTATTAAATAGAATATAATATACCGTGAAAGATCAAATCTTCCGGACTCAGCACATTACACTAAACTTTAAAAACGAAGAGATCAGTATCGTTTGAAATAATTAATTGGTGTGAGTAAAGTATCAAATGTAAATTGAAATCCAAATAGTGACATGGATATCAAAAACGGAAGCGTCACTGATATTTTATCCAAGGCCAATGCAAGGATTCTATTCTGTGCATTGGATGCGATCGATGGTCCGAAAATAATTGTGTGGGATCCAACTCTTATCAAACAATTCAACTTAGTCAGTGTTGTTAGAAATATCCTTTAATAATTTATTAAATTAAAATATTTTTCACTGTGCTATATTTCATCTTCTTAAAATTGCACAAAAATTTAGGATAATTCTATCATAATTTAAATTTGCGGTATTAGTTTTCGTCGTTGATATCAGAGTATTTTGTCTGACGTCACCAGTATTGTTAGAGGTTGGGGAATGCTTATCACATCGCAACTTACAAAATATCGGATGACTACTACCTGTTTAATTTGGTATTGTATCCTCCTTATAAGTATTAAAAAAGCATCCTTATATACTAAGTTCATTTCTGTTGCAAACTAAGTTCTTCTTCATTCACTGTAGACAATAAAACAAATATTTTTGAATTTGACTGCATTTCAATTCTTATTTGTAGGTGACAACAACAGAACAATTGAAACAGCACAAGGTTGTATCTATGCTGCAGCTAGATCTTTCGCCAAGGGTACCACAAGTGGAACATAACCATATCGTTTATATTTTATCGACATCTAATTCATCAGTAATCAATAAGCTAATTGCATGTCTCAAACACGCTAGATCCGTTAATGTAATTCTTTATAATTTATATTAATAGTTCGTAAGTTTATTTAATAATGCATTCCTATCCATCTGTTTCTAATCAGTTATCAATTCATCGCTCTAAAAAAGTGATCCATACTTTCTTCCCTTTTCTCATATTACATGTTGCACTTCTAGTCAAAACAATTCAGTCCAACATTTTTCTTTCTTGACTGAACTTTGAAATTACCCAAATGTTGAGCGAGCAATAATCCTTCAAATTTTCTGTGACCAACTAGTTAATCTTTCTTTCACAGTAAAGAAATATATCTTTTTAAGGATAGTCGTCAGCACCACGCTTTGGTAGTCCCAGAAGCCTCATTCATGATTCGGGATACGTTAAAACAGGACCGAGAAGCAAGCTCAGTCTTGAAAACACTTGAATCATTGCCATTGAGACTTTTTCCACTCTACAGTGATTTTCTCACTCTTCTTATGGATAATTTGCCGTCAAAACTTCTTTTAGATAGCGTAAGAAATATTTAGCTGAAAATAAGTTTATGTTTTTGTCTTTTTTTCTTCTCAATATTAATATTATTATCTGTTTGAAATATGGATTCAGTGAACTTCAGGATTGGACAGAATTGCAAAAATGCGCTTCAGCCGTAAGACAGCTTGAACTTTTAGTGGACTGTTTGCCCAACTTAAGGTGCAAAGGAAAATGGGCGGCGCAAGTAGTTGAAATTGTGAAGAAAATGAGAACTCAGGTAAATGATCTGTTCCTTACTTGATATTTGTCGGGTTCAGAATAATGATGACTTTATGTTTTGAAGAATCAATGTGTTTTATCTAACTCACTAATATATGTCATTGTATTTCGAGGGAAGCTTATTTAAAAATTTCTGCCGTTTTTAGGAGGAAATGGAGTCTGTGTCGGGGCATAATGATTTTCAAATATCGGATATTATCTTAATCGATAGATGGATTGATCCTTTGACGCCTATGCTGATACAGTTAACATACGCTGGTTTAGTTGATGAAATATTTGATATGGGTGCCACAGGTCTTTTTTTTTTTATGTGTGTATTTATTGTACTCGTGCACTTATTCCTCAACTGAATTTCATTATTTCTCTATTATATACTTATTAGTAATTTTTAGATAATACCAGTAGTAATAACTATAAATTTTTAAATCTGGCTTTACATTTATCACTTGTGTACTACAGAAGGCCGCAGCAGTTCCTGCAAAAATTGAAGAGTCTTCTCCTCCTCTACCAAGATTCGAATAGTCAGATTTCAAAACATGCACGCGCCTTTAATTGTTGTGAATTCTATTTCGTTGTAAAATAGCTAAGGACATCTCTTGACAAAATTTCAACCGACAACAGCAATATATATCCCGGTATTAGGAGTACCATGAGAAAAATCCTTAGAAATTTTGAAAAAAAAAAATTTGCACTCGTGGCCTATTTTACTTTTTCTTTTTTGACCACGCGGCACGCATTGCAGATTTTCCGGTTATAGAGCAATGAGATCAAGTATATATTTTATTCAGGTAACATTAAGACATCAAAAATAAGGAACGCAAGTGATTCAGCTGATGCTGCTAGTGAAATACCCTTGCATGACCCACTTTTTAAACTGATCCGAGATCTTCATATCAAAGATGTTGGAAAGCAAATAGGAGAAACGCTAGTAATGCTTCGTGACGAACGTGTGGTATATTTCATTTACCGTTCAATGTCTAATATTTATTTATATTGTTTTTACATTTTAATCAACGTCCATTTGTGATATGTTTGAAATTCCTAGGATTTTAGCAATAAGCATACATAATCTACGCAATGCTTATTTAGTATTAAAAACATAATTGTTAGTACTCATTCCACCAACTATCTGCATATCATTCAGCCATTTATTCACTTATCGTTTTTTGTTCCTCTCCCATTACAGACGTTTACAGAGATTAAAAGAGAATCCACCGAGTGATTCGTTAGCAGAAAGCAAAGTTTTTGTTCGCAGACTGCTTGACATGCAAGGAAGCGAAAAACATGCCGATACTCATACACTGATTGCCGAACATTTGATGAGCTTTATTCGTGATGATTTGCGGTACTCCACCTTTCCAAAATTGGCAATTGGTAATGATTGATAAATCCACTCATCAGTAGAGTACCTCAGAAGCAATTCCGAATATTATTTAAAATACTTGTGAAACTTATACCATATTTTCTGTCTAATGGCTTGAAAATTATAAAAATTATTCTAGATATTGTACAAGGAGAATATGGTGACCGAGTAATTCCGCAGCTTGAGAATCTTATTCTAGAAGCATACAATCCTTTAATTGTTTTGCGTTTCATCTCACTTCAATGTATGGTTACTGGTGGTTTCAAGAATGCTACCATTAGTACTTATGAGAGACTTTTTATCCAGGTACTTATAATTTTATTCTATATTGTGTCGGTACTTCACGTTGTTGTTTAACAAGTCTCATGTCAAATTTCCAGACAGTGAAAGGAATATCTTGACATGGTAAAATTACCAAATATGTTTGTTTCAGAGCTATGGTGGATATTACATGTCATTGTGGATAAAACTGCAAGTAACTGGACTTTTGTGGGAAAGAAATGGCAAAATAAAAGTAAGTACTTCACGTTAAACAGAACTGTGAAATTTGTGTACATTGTACAGGTTGGTGGTGAGACTAGATAATTTTCAGTGCGAATATGCTCCATTTGATTTCCAAACAGCATGTCACCGGATGTCATGCTTTGTCGATGAAGAGCACAGTGTAAGTTTGTCATATAAAGTCTGGGACTTGAATACATAAAAAGAAAATTTCGAAAAAAACAGAAAAAACAGTTGGGTTATCATACCAATTACAGTCCGACTGTGTTTTGTTCTGGCTCTTTGGGAAATAATCTTTGTAAAGCTTTAATGAAAAATCGAATGAAACACTTTCGGAACAAAAGGTGTAAGTTACTACTATGATGAGCTAATCAAAAAAAAAGAAAAAAAAAAATTTATGAACGAAGGAAGAAACTGCATTTCAAGAAAAAAAGTTGATGAACGAAGGAGGAAACTGACTTTCTGTTCTCTCACTGCACATTGATTAAGGCATACGGAACTACGGCATATCCGTATAATGGTTACGTACCTTTAATTGTTCGGTATATCGAAACGGGTATACGAAACAATTGGCGAGATTGGACAACGATTCAGAGCGATGATCATTCAACAATGAGTCACGGCACTTATTCCATCATTTTCATTATTGGCGGTGTTACACAGGCTGAGTTGGCATGCCTTAGGAAAATACGTTTTTCAAATAAATTGTTAGTTGTTTCAAGTGCAATAATAACGGGCAATAAATTGATTAACTCAATACAAAATAGTTAACTTTCAGTTCATTGCGCTATAAATCTCTGTACATTTTTCTTCGAAAAATAAATTTGATGAATTTGTTTGAAAATGTTTGGAACAGAATACACGACTATCAGTGTTGATATGGATATTGAATATTCACAGCGGGCAACATAGATATACTTTCCCAACTTGTTGTAGTGTTGCGATAAATGATTATGGAAGAAAAGTTTGAGCAAAAAGCACAGGCTCATGACAGGATCAGACTGGATTAAAAAAAAAAAAGACTTTTCCATTTTTAAAAAGCAAGAAGTTAGTTTTAAAATGGCACCTGCAACTCATTAGCAAATAATGCAGCAATGGCGGTCCAGGTTTCCTCTTCATGAGCATCACCCAAAGGTGTTGCGTGATGGAAAATTTGTATATTTACTGTCAGAACAATGAAAACGGTTGTTTGTCAAGAAAATTTATTTGTCGGAAAGATGACTGAGTATACAGGTCATATTCAGAAAGTAAGTTTGCAAAGATATTCAGTGAAAATGAATTTGCTTTCCTGGATTTCGGAACCGATTTGGATTAGTTTACATCCTTATAGATGCATGAAAATATAACAAGAAAAGTGGAACAACTGGTGACCGATATGACACGACAACTTATCGCAAGCGCCAACAATGACGAAGATGTTGAAGTGGAGGTAAAAATGTTGTTTGGGAAAGTTATCGATAATCCAAGAAATGCAACTGGTCGGAAGTTAGTTCAATACTAGTTTTTTGAATATCAGTGAATTTTGAATCATTTTCTAGAGAAGTTGTATAGGAAACAGCTTGGTGGCCATTTTCATTATAAACAGTCTTGTGTGCATCATCTAGAACAATTATCCGAGATGTTCGTTAATGAATTGGTCTTGACAAAAACAGACTATTCCTGTACATCCCCGAGAACCTTCTAATTATCGTAAATACAGATCCTGCAGTAATGTAAGACTAGTGGATCGACATTTATTTTTTAAAATGTTTTCAAGACACAAATTTTTCTGTTATATATAATTTCAGTTCCATAAGCAAAAATCTTTGCCCGATGCGAAAAATTCCTGGTTCCTTTGACGCTACTGTTACTATAACTGGCAAGTTTAATATATCATTTATTTCTAAAACTCTTCATCGAATCCTTTCCAAATGAATCGAACAAACTGAGCATACATTTTCAAATATGGAAAGTCTCGAAGACTTATAAAACGAGACTAAGAGTTCCACATATGTAAAACTCACACATTGCATTTTGCAAGTTAGATAGTCCAGAAGCGTCATCAATGAGCCATGGAGAATCCATTATCAGTCACTACTCATCACCAGTCCAGCAAATTACAACCGAAGAAGACGAGACATCGGTGTAGGCTGTTCCTCACTAAAAATCTCTCATTTCTTGAAATCATCGGTAACCAAAATATGCATTATACCTTGCCATGACTGGCAATGTTGTAAATCCCAAAAGTCTAATTTTGAATATTACGTTTATATCTATTATAGAACTGTGGAACTGCTATCCTAAATTTTACCTATCTTTTATGAATTCATTTGAAAAACGTAATTAAATATTTGTGTATTATAATTTCCCAACTTTAACTATAATTAACCATATCCATATATATGATCGTCGGGTTTACTACTAAAAATTGCTAATAAATAAAACAGATAGCTGCTTAGTACTTCAGGAATGGAGAGATCGAAAAGAAAGATTCAGCAAGAAACTCAACATCGTTCAACATCGTTACATTCCATGGGTTTGTAGAATAAACAACAGAATGTTTCCATTCCAACTTCTTTAACCTTTCAATCCAACAATATTTTAAAAGGAAAAATACTAACAAAGAATCAATTATATTCTTAAAATGTGGAATAACGATAAAATAAGCAGCGGCCTCAACTGATCAATTGCTCCATAAGATGAAAGGTTATATTGCATACATGACTCTAACTCTTGAGAGTCCAAAATGAAATATATACACATTCATTTATCTCTATGAAGTTCTGACTATCATCTTTCAAGCTTTTACAGATTTCAAGAGAAGAGAAAAGAATTTGTGACATCTTAGATTAACAACAAATTTAAACGAGTAGCAGGAAAATCATGAAATCGCTATTCATCATTCTCAAAAATGTGGAAAGATATTGCCATCCTGATGTACGCATTTAGCGGGAATGGGAAGGATAGTAATGAAGAGTAAAGCGGTAAAGGAGTTGGAAGAGTTAAGGCCATGTATACAGACTAAACAAATAATTTCAAAATGTAGGAATGGTAAACTAGCAACAAAAAATACAAAAGGATTGGAAAGAACAGAGCAGAAAGCATGTTGCACATCGAAAATTTGTATAATTATGATAGACTAATTCAGTTAGATGCAATCAGCTATGACAATGTGACAAAGGTAACATCAGTAACGCCCAACATTAAAAAATTACAAAAAACATATGAAGGAGCAAAACTCCATCTTTAAAAGTGCGAATAAATTTTACAATTTCACCGGTACTGTTCAGTAATCCGTCTCATCACTCCTTAGACATCTTGCCAGTGGCGAAGAAGGTGGTTGTGAAGATTTCTAAAGAATAATTTCCAATAATTTTTAAAAGGCAATCGTAAATAATCACAGAAATACAATTCAAAATGATCCAGGGTATTATTAGACGACCATTCCACCATTTCCAGCTTTCATAAAGTTAGACATCGACTATGACTTTTATTAGAAAACATTTTTTTTTTTTGCAAGTAAAAAAAAATTGAAAAACTTTACTTGGCCACGAGGACGGAAAAGCTCGTGTTTCGCAAGTTCGAAAACATCTGCCCGCTCTTCTTTTCGGTATTGTAGACAGCGACGGATAAAATCCTGAAAATAACGAAACTTAGTTACAATCTCAACTGAACTACATACCTGAAATAAAAAAAAAATGAAAATCAAGACTGCCTGAAATATACAACCTGAATAGACAAATTTTAAGCAAAGGGAAACTATCACTATTATAAATTGATAACATACACCATCGATAGGAAAATACATTTAGGAAAATCTCTAAAAACTCCCCACTGTTGAAAAGTACTGAAAATTATGTCAAAACTTCCAGCACATTATAAAAATAGTAGATGTTTACCTGCGCTGCCGAGCTGACAACTGGTTTGGGAGGAAAAGTAACTTCGGTAGCTTTCAGGATAGTGTTTTCTTCCAGAATTTTTTGCTGAGTTTGTTCGTGTCCAAATGGCTGTAAAAATATGTATATGAATGTGTGGACATCTTCGTTAGCAAAATTCAAACAAATCATTAACATATCAAACAGAATTATAAAAAACAAAAGCTTACTCGTCTGCCATATAGGCACTGGTAAAATATAACACCAACACTCCAAACATCCACTTTTGAGCTTATTTTTGGAGGATTGTGACCGACAACAAAAGTTTCAGGAGGAAGATACCTAAAAACATAAAAATGCTATCAAGAGAAATATAACTCTTCCAAGATTTGAAAATTAGATAAGGAGGAACAACGAAAAAGTAAGAGAATATGAGCGTTTGATAAGACCTTCACAAAATCAAAAATTAATTAAATCAACCGCTAACCAGTACGTCCCAGCTCCCTGGGATGTGAGTTCAATAGAATCACCGTCATCAGCATCCTCCATTATTTTACTCAAACCAAAATCAGTGATTTTTATTGCACCGCTCGTGGTACCCGACTGCAATAGGATATTTGCCGGCTTCAAATCGTAATGGATTATTGGTGGGCGTTTTTCTGATAAATAACGAAGTGCTGACACTACCTGAAATAATCCAGACGGTCAAAGCTTACGTTGCTTTTCAAACTGGACCCGTTAATTTAAAGCAGTACTCCATCGCATATCATCGTAACAGATTAGGGACTATATAAGTGGACCAATCAAATTTCCAAAGCAGTTCTTTGGAAATTTATGTGTTCGTTGTCTGTACACTTTACCTGCATAATAATAGAGCGTGCTTCCTTTTCGGGAATTTGCTTATTTTGCTTCAGATAGAAATCGAGATCATTACCATCACAGTACTCCAACACAGTACAAAAAGAATGATTGTCGATTGTAAACAAGTCGAATAAGCGAACAATACGTGGATGATCTAATGTCTTATGAATATCTTTTTCACGCATAGCATGTTTCACATAATTTGCCTACAAGTGGTTAGTTCACCGATAATAATGCAGAAATTAAAAAAAAATGTTTTCAGAGATACAAAGAAACAATAGAATAATTTCATTCCATTTAATTAAAAAAAAAAGCACATTCAATACATAAAAACTTGTGAATTAACCTTTTTATCTTCTTTCCATTCCTTATTTACATGATGAATCTTGCATGCCACATACTTATTCTCATCCAGATCAAAAGCCCGCCAAACCTCGCTGCAGAAAAATCAATTATAAATTAATAATATCAATTGAATTTGAAACACTACTATAATAACGATTAGAAACGATTTGAGTTTCAAGCACTGTTGTTGTACAATTACATACATGATATGAAAGACTTACTACAAAGTTACCCAACATAAAGAAAAGATGCTTCCTAAAGCAGCCACAATAAAGGACCTACAAAAATCAAAGCAATATAAAACTAATACAAGCCGACCTAAAACCACCCTTTCCAAGTAGCGAAAGTAGAAGATAGCGCCTATTGAGCAATTCGTGGTCTTTGTACCGACTTGATTCTTCATACTGAACCCGTTTTAATTCTCGAATATGAAGATTACGCTCTCTCTCTAAGCGATCACGTTCAGCAATTAGTTCTGCTTCCTCTTTTTTAAGATGTTCCTTAAATGGATACAAATTTTCAAAAAAAAAAAAAGTGATACTCCGCAATATATGACATAAGTAGACAAAATTACAATACTGCAGTGAGTAACAAACTTTTGAAAAATTGACAATTGACTCATGTAACATAACCAGTTCCAGAATATCATAAGAATAATTAGTATTGAATGTCGTGAGGATTAATACTTTTAATTTTACCAAAATAAAATATCGAAAAAGTAATTAAAAATACTTCAAACGATGAGATTCTTTAGTAGAATGTCCCGCTTTAGCAGGACGGAAATGCGCTTAAGCAGGATGACAAAAACAACACGTTACCTTACGTAAACGATAAATTTCTTCTTGCTCCAAATATTCTTGCAACGTCAATTCTTTTGGTAATTCGGGTTTTGCAAACAGTTCATCTGTGAGTGAAACAGAACTTGGCCCTGCTGATGTAGATGGAACCATACCATCCGAACTAGTCGAACCAGTCGACATTGCTCTGAACATGTAAAAATCGATCGATGTTTTATAGGACACATATATTTCATGAAGCATAAATGAAAACTTCATAGTACACTATTTTTTTTTTCTTCTAAGAAAAAAGTGAATGCTTCCAAAAATTATTCGCTGTTAAGGTCTTAGATTCCAAATATCATAATTTTAACCGGTAATTCATTATTTACAATCCTATATTTTCGATTTCAACTGAAAATATGCCTTTTTTTCCTTTTTCAAAATGAACAAAGTACTGGGGAAGGAAGGAAACAAAATGAAGGCCTTTTAACTTCTCGAAATATGTGTTCAAAGTCTGACTGGATTCAAATATAACACTATGGAGTGATCGAAATAATTTCTAGTAAACAGAAAATTCCTTATTTTATACCTTTTCAAATCTCGAGCATTTCCCGTTGGTTTTCTTTTCCGAAGATTCTGCGAAGCATTAATTATTTCATTCCTTTCATTTGCAATCCTCTGCTGTGCTTTACTAATTTCTTCGAATGCCCAACCATCAGCCCACATTTCACGAAACTCTTCGCGGTGACGTGTTGGCTTGAACTGTCCGATACGTAAGCAATCCTCCATACATTTTGCTTTCGCCTGAAAATTGCTCTTACACTATAAACGTCAAAAGTTTTGTTCTGAAGAAATAAATCGAAGTCGACAGTAAATTAACGGGCAATAAAAAAGGTGAAAACCGCTACGAAGTTCCCTAAGGATTGATTTGTTAATGATAATTTGAAAAATAGAAAAAAATCTAACAGTCAAAACGCACAGCAGAGTATATCGAAAAATGATTACAATACAGTACACAGTATCAAAATGCAACTTTTTTACACAAAACACATAGTACAATTTTCTCTGACTGGAAAAATATACCGGTTGTATCGAAAAAAAAAAGACGTACTTGTTTCCTTTCCATAGTACTTTGATCAATCAACAATTTCCTTATAGTCTCCTTGCATGCCTCCATAGATCGGTCTCTTTTGATGATCTGCTGTTTCAATTCTTCAATTGTCCTCCTCATATCCTCAATTATACTATCTTTTTTTGAGAGCTCAGAACGCATTTCCGCTGCATCAATTAAGGATAATTCATCAGTTTGTGCCTGAAAGGAAATTCTTAATGGGAACAAAATAGATAAATGTAAAACGATTTGTAAAAGAAACGAAAGCGCTGAAGAATTAGTATGTGAATTAGGTTTTCCAAAAGGAAAAAAATAAACACCTGAGAATCCATTCTAGGTCTGCACATCAATGTTTGCGGCGGACTTTGGCTTTGGCTTGAGTCACTCGAATTGAAAATGGTCAGATGAATATTCGGTCGAGTGTTGGTTGATGGAGAGACAGATGTAATGATTGCGCACTTGAAAAATAACCATATAAAATGAATGAAAAATCAGAATTATAAAACCACACTGTTCCGGAACATAAGCCTTGTAGTTTTCGTTAATATTGTGCATTTGGATGTGACATTTTGATGTGAATTTGAATCCGATATTTCACGTTATGTTATGAAAAAATAATGCGACTACCTACACATGAAAACATATATAAAAATACTTACTATACTGCTAACTCAAAAAAAAAAATGAACTGGTTTAACAGACACTCAAATTGGTGGACACTAACAGCTAGCATATATCGTTAACATGTACTGTAACATGTACGATGCTTTCACAGACCATGAAATTGCGATTTTTAAAACTTTCTCTAATTGAAGTTTTGAAAAGGATAGTTCAAAAAAGTACTAAAAAAAAAAAAAAAAAAACCTAAAAGCTGCTTAGGTCCATGGTTATTCAATTATTAATGTAATTGAATTCAGTGTAACCGTCTTGCAACTACTTTATTTATTGGGGACTTCACTGCCTCCATAAGCCTATTCCGAAAAAGAAAAAAAAAAGAGCGTACAAAGGTATCGAAAGAAAGAGAGAACCTTGATGAAAAACAGTCATGGTAACTTCTAAAACGAGCTTATATTTTAGAAAAAGTGAAAAGAACATACGTAGTCACTACTTGAACTATCGCCATTTGCGTGAGAAGTATTTGCCTGACGCTTCGGACTCGAACCAACTGCCATGTTCTGAAAAACTAGATCTTACATCTACGAAGTTAGAAGAAACTGGTATTTCTTAAATTGGTATTTTCATAATCAATATTACACATAACTCATAAACATACGAATAACAGTTCTGAATAACAAAAGATCTCATTAAAATATACATGTTCATAAAATAGATGCAGTCAGTCACTACTGCAATCGTAGGAAACGTAAATGGATACAAAGAAATACCTTAAAACATTCAGTAATCTTTCGATCACTTTTGGGTGGATAGCCATCGTTTCTTCGCCTCTTTCGTAGTGGTTTTTGATCCAAAGATTTCCCAACTTTAATATAATTACCCTTGTCGGGAGTTTCTGGCTCACGATCAGACACTGAACCCGTGCTGCTTACATTAGACAATTCACTAGCGACTGGTACTGGATTTGAACCCGCAATTGCAACTGATGTAGGTACTAATGGCGTCGTTACCTGTGTTTGAACAATTTCTCCCAATTCCATCTGAAATCAGTGTGAACTGACAAAAAAGACCAAAAAAATTAACCCGATTAAGTGGAAAAGTAAATGTTTTGGTGGAGCAGTAAACAGTATCAAGTGAGAAATAATTACAGTGAGAGAGACACAACAAGTCATTTGTAACATATTTTAGCTGCTATCATCAAAGATAGCGTAACTGACCGATATAAATGGAAAAGTAAATGTCCTGAATTAGTTTACGCAAAAATCAACATCAGATGATTTCTAAGTTGAATTCGGAAAGTTCAGTACAAAAAAGCATAACAAACCTTTTCTGTAATTTTACTGTTTAACCTTTCCTTTTCATAAACAACTGGCAAGGAATAAGCTGTATCGGACTTACTGATTGTTGCGAATGTTTTGACCGCTTCAACTGAACCTTTTTTGAGTAGCTATAACACAAAAAACTTTCAAAAAAGAGATGACCGACAAAACTCACTCAATGCAAAAAAAAAACATCGTGAGCGATAGAGATTTTATTAAAAAATATGGCTATAAATCGACAATTTATTGCGGATATCACGACGTACTCCGAACAGTTCTTTTTTTTTCTTTCTTTTTTTTTTTTAATTCTTTTCATAATCTAAATTGGACAAACAAATAGTAAGATACCTTCTCTGATGGTAAGGTCCTGTTCGCCTGCAGACCAGAATTAAATGCGCGTCTTTCAAGGTCAATCCGTGGTGGTTCACCAGATGAAGTGTCAAAATCTTCACACTGTACAGTATCACCGGTAACAGCCTCACCACTGATCATAACGAATTAAACACCTTCATAGCCTTTGTTTTGCCGTTAGCGCTCTCCTTGTTACATTTATAAACGAGCACTTCCCTGAAATATTTAAGTTCTTAAACTACAAAGGTCTGTACTCCCACAAAGATGAATCCTTGAAGCAGAAAAGCGTACGCTTCTAAAAATAACATACACATTGTCAAAAGAGAATAAATATGACAGAATAAAATTATGTGTGGATAAAGTGAAACAAAATAAAGTGAGGAAGGGTGGTATATGTGAAACACCTCTTTAGTATCTAGCGAGTTAATGTAAAAAAGTATATGTGTTTCGGAATGCTTATAACAGTAGTAATCAGAAGGTGAACGAAGTTTTATCCGAATCAATGGTCAAGGACTAGTTAAAACGACATCATCACGACCCACCGCTATTCGATTTTTTCAAGCTTCTCTGCACAGTTCATCACCAAGCCCGATAATAACAATGATATCACAGCACAAATTATCGATTTTCTTGAAACACCTCGTGCTGTGATGTTAACAGTGATGATGACCGTGAGGATGATAATGAAAATGCCGGTGACGACCACGATGATGATGACGACGACGACCACTACCACCATCACCATCATCATCATCATCACCAGCACCACTACTACTGCTACGATCCATCCCAAATGCTTCGCTCCTCCTGGTCTATTCTGCGGCGTGTATGTTACGTTATGTATATATGAGTATGTTGTTTTATGTATGTGTGTGTGTGTGTGTGATGTGTGTATGTGTGTGTCGATGATAGTGCCACCGACCACAATATGCTCTGGAAACGGCCATGCACTTTTCATGCTTTCTTTAGGCATTGTTCCTTGAAGTGCACGACTATCAAATAAACCTTAGCTACCCCGATGATATGCACCGATATCACACCACACTGCACAATTCCAGAATTGCAGGATAGTGCTGCAGCACAACAGGATGCAGTAACTACTCATGGAAACTTGAATAACCGATAACTGCTTTCTTGTACCGACTGAACGAAGCACCAGTTCATGTAAAAACTACCAGATGTTAAGGGCAGTAGAAACACGGGGAATCTAGGATAGATCGATCCTGCGAATGAATTAGCATAATCGAGAGAGTGTCACGACTGACGAAATGATTACAGAAACATAAACCATGGTAGCAAGATCGCTGTAAGGTCTCTTTAACAACATATATACATCCTACCGATGGATTGGGAGCAGAGAACATCGACAGAACCTAACACTTTCCCGGCTGATTTGCAGCAGCAGCGGGAAATGCTGCAGTGTAGAGGGATGAAAAGGTGCTTCTGCTGGTATAATCTGAAGGACAAATGTTAGGTTTCTCTCACTCATCTATCTTGAACTATTCTACTTACCCTTCCATACACTCTTCTCTGCTTCGGTACCCGAGATATCCAGTAACCCGTGGGAACTCACATCAAACAAAAAACAAACTGAGGCATTTTTGGGATACAAAGATGACAATAAGAAACACACGGATTCTTATAACAAAATGAATCGAAAGGCTGCAATGAGCTGCAAGTATGCGACACAACGCGACAGTGTAACTGCAAATACCGTTACAGCTCCCGTACTGAGGCAACGGGCAACAGTCTTTGTAGTACTGCATTTGTTGGCTCAATGCCATTTTGTTGTTAATGTCGCGCTGCAATGCAAACGATTTAGTGTGACGCAGTGCAGTTGGCACTTCGGACGGACAAACATTTATGCAGGGAAAAGATCGCGCGGTTTTAAAGTTCACTGCACTGGAAGCATTTTCAATGCATTGGCCAGTGTAGCACTAAGAAAGGTCAGAGGGCAGAAGAATAGTGAGAATGCCAGTGCTGTCTTGATGGGAAGGAAGGTGAACAGTAGCTAGTTGGAAGGTCACAGGTTATCATCCATCATCCATGTATCTTTGTTATTTGCGTGTTGGAGCATTATACCACTTGGGGCAGTGTGCTTATTACAGAACCAATAGTTGCATTGGCGCAATGTGTATGAGGTTTGCATCTTATCAATAGAAGAGGAACAAATAGAGAGGCGGCAAGGTGCTCGAGCGATTTCGAGATCTAAGAAACAGAAATGTCAGCCATCAAACTTATCCTTCTACATTAGAATATGAAATGATATTTAGAACATGAGCAGGAGTGCAATGTCAGTTCCAAGCACTACTGTTATCATCTTTCTTGTGGTCATGTCCCATTCGTATTTTGTGTCAATTCTCTTAGTGACGTGATATTAACAGGTATGAATAGAATGAGAGACGCTTTCCCTTTCATAGTGATTAATCGGAATCGGAAGAACTGATCCGAGAGAGGAGTAGAAATAAAGGTATTCGAATCAGTATTTTCATGGAATTTAAGCATTTCATGAAATGAAACACAACACGGTCGTCTCCTTTGCTTCTGGGTAATGAATATAAACAGATATGAATCTAGCAGACGTTTGATAGCTTGAAAGGTATGCAACCTGCAAAGTAGTCGTCTACTTAACGAGAGTGGGACTCGAACCCAGGCCTCCGAGGAGACTGGTGCCTTAAACCAGCGTCTTAGACCGCCCGGCCATCTCGCCCTCACGGCTTTAACACACATCGTATAGTCAATAAGTGGCAGATTTTCTGACAAAAGCAGTACCCCCAGACACTTTGACGAGAGTGGGATTCGAACCCACGCCTCCGGAGAGACTGGTGCCTAAAACCAGCGCCTTAGACCACTCGGCCATCTCGCCCTAACAACAATTCGCATCGGTGGCTATTTTACCATTCGAAAGCTCAACAGCCAACGTGAAGAACAAATTTCGGTGGATGATGGATTGACACCAGTTCACCTTCTCATGCCAACACGTACAATCACCGCCACCAGTAATGGCGTCAGTCTTACTGCTAGCACACATGTCAAGAAATTGTCTTCGACTGTGGAACAGTCCGCTTTTCCTGTCCTCTCCACTGTCATCCATAACTGAGGTAGCAGCAGCAGCAACAGCAGGAAAGTTGCTATTATGGCATTCAGCAGTGCACTCAATTAGCACACTGTTCTCAATAATATTATCCCAATTTCCGATTCAGTTCACTTTCTTACTAGCCAAACTCACCAACCACTGGTAATAATCTTACACTCTTTTGATCGATGGTTTTGAAAATTTCGTTACGTCTTTTTCAAGAGCCTAACGTTGTTTAGGAGCGCTCATTAAAGCACACACAGGAAGATCAAGGTGGTATTCCCGTAAACCCTGCTCCACTTGATGTCTTACTGCTTATGGAAAATCAAACTGGTGAACTCCAACACCTCCAGCTCTGACTTAAAGTTCCCCGTTTCGAACTACTGAACAAAACCGTCCCACCTTCTTTCTTCCTTACGTTGAAATCTGAGTGAAAAATACCTTCTATTCAAGCCTGAGCCACTTACAGGACTACTCCGCCCAGCATACGTCCCACTCCCGAATGTGTTCAAAGCCAAATCAATTCATCTACACAAAAATATCTCGCTTAGTTCACCGTTTGAACAAGTTGCCCCCCTTCATCCTACAATCCTAGCAAGCACTCACGAAATGCATTCGCCATATTTTGAAATGTAACAATTCCCGCATTTCATTCACAATGTGAAAAAAATAAGCGACGATGCTTTATGCACAATGTTACCGATTGCTGAACACGTATAGTAGCGTTGTATTCGTGAACAGACTTTAAATTGACCACACAAAAATACGACGAAAGACTTTGGCACACGCACGGAACAATACTTGTATAAAATATAATCAGTCAGTGTATAGCGAAGCCAATCAAAATACTATATTACTGTATTCGACAAATTTCAAACAAATTTGAAGGTACCCCTAACTGAATAAAGGAAACAAGAACAGGTTCGCACTCGTAACTTTAGAAAAGTTGCAGCCTGAACACCAGTTTGTATTGCAAGTTGATAGGAACTCCACACAAAACTAATCTGCATAAATTCCAAAACGATTGTTCCACATGGCCTCTCTATTACTGCTATTTCGCGAAGGATGCAGTACAAATATTCCAGTCAAAAGAAATTCCAGACAACCCTTGAATTATAATTTACACTTCACATCTACAATATTCTGTCCCATGTATTTTGAATAAAGATTGAGTGAGTTACAGAATTAAAAGACGAAAAAAAGAACAAGACAAAACGAAACATACTGAAAAAAAGTTTATTGAGAAGACGAAAGAGTAACAGGCATAGGGAAATTCTGACATGAATATTTGGAGAAAACATCCGGGCTACACCAAATTGCATTATTCAGAACACGGACAGTAGTAAAAGCAGTAGTAGTGGAAGTATTACTGTTCCTGCTGTCATTATCTTCAAGAAACGCCTGCTGCTTACGAATTTGTGCAGAACGTGATGGCCGACTATACTGCAACCTTGCGATATCACGACGACATATTATGCAGCTCATCCGCATTCTGTTCTCGTTGATTGCATGCTAAAACGAATGATACAGAAAAAAATAAAACCAAGAAAGTGAATGAATTTTCGAATTTAAACACCACCTAGAAATGAAAACCTGAGTCATTAACAAAGGAGATAAATCGCAACTACAGTTGCACTTAACATGAGTTTTATGGATTATTCGCTTAAAATAATTGTCTGTTCATAAAGGAACATCTGTAATAATAGCCTTTATGGATTTTTAGAATAGGTTTTCATCTTTTTTGTACGAAAAATGAAACTGCTTACAAAAATCAAATTTGTTCAAAATCAGGAGCATACACGAAGAAAAATACACACATAAAATATCGAATGTTTCAAATACTGAAGACTAATCTAACCTAATTATATCATGTCGGCATTTCAGGCTTGTAACACAAGAACATTAATGAAATCATAGACAGCACAAGTTCCTCAAAACCTGAAATAGTAACCTACCTCAATTAACTGGACCGCACAGTTCCTGCAGAATACTTTATGGCTGCAAGGAAAGGCTCGAACTGATGCACGCCGCTGCACACATACACAGCATTCATCATCTACTCCATTGGCCCGATCTTCAGGTTCACAAGCAAGTTTTGTCTTCAAACGCTTCTGAAAGCTTGATTTCTTTAAGATTATGAATAGGATAGCAGAACAAGACTTGTATCCCAAGAAATTTTGAAAATCAAATCTTCCTCAAGAAAAGGAACACAACTCGGTTTAAAAAAGTATAAAGGCCTTTTTGTGGAGCAAAAATAGTCTGAAGGGCTTCAGATATGGGACCCCATTCTTTATATCTTTTTTCATTGGGATATAATTATCCTCTGATTCACCTATTGTGACAAGAAGCTTATGACAGATGACATAATAACTCATACAGTTGAATTTGTAATCAGGCTTACTAAATTATTCTAATGCAAGATCACTCAAATACGGGATCTCATCCTTTATATCGTTTCTCATCAAAATCGAACGGTATTCTGTGCTTTAAATTGAACTGATAGGATTTGTTAAAGTGTGAACAGCGCTATTCAACTCTAACTTCACTGTTTTCTTCCCTATAACAGTAGTCGAAAATGCGAGATGGATATCCCATCTTCAAGAGCTATCTCGAGATCGCTGTGTCATAAGAGAAAACATAACAAACAGAAGAGAGTATCTATAATGCTGACGTTTTACGAATTACGACAGTGCCCATATGTTGGTGAGATAGTGAAATACAGCAAGAGTGAAAAGCAATGATCACGCAGAGCAAGCTGAACGATCAATGGTGGTGTGCTATTGAAGTGACGAAGAACCCAACCCAGCTCACAGTGACAACACTAATCATCACCCTGTCAATCTCTATTGGGAATAAGCAGGTCACCTCGTGATGAACAAGGACGAAAAGCATATTTCATGTGTGTGTGACAGTTCGCAAATGCATGCAAAAGTGGTGGTATTGATGCTATTCACGGATAATATCGAAATCCGTTCTCCTCAGAGCTCAAAATCGGTGGGTAGTGGTCATTTGCCGAGCCATCGGGAATAACAGCCAACGAATGCCGTACAACTAACCACAGTGAGGCCCTACGAAGGTCCTAGGCATAACAACAAGAAAAGAAGATAGTAACAATAACGGTAGGCAAGTGATCTCGGCGATTCAGCATAAAACTTACCAGCAAAGCATCGATGTGTTGTCGTTGTGGCGAGGATAACCTGGCAGTGGAGCAACATGTCGGCTCACTACCTAGCAAGCAGTGCTCAGACTCAGGTCCAGGTGGCCGAACTCGTCGCCTCAAGAAATGTACTAGTCCAGAAAGTACCATGCCTTAACGCCTCAGGCCACGTAGACACCCGCACAGACTAATGCACACACCAAGCAGTGATCTATTGGCTTTTGCCACACCATAAGGGATCGTCCCCGGAGATGTCCTACAGCGACACACACACACAGACAGACAGACAACTCGTTGTCATTTGCCCCTCCTCCGTCTAGACAGTCCTCTTCTCTACCTCTCTTCACTTGATACATGGTCGACTCCAGACGTCCCATCTCTCTTCCACTTCCACACCGAAAAAATGACATGCAATTAGGCGTAGGGATGACACGACGTCTGCGCTCATTGTAAATGTGCGCCTGACACGCCCATTTGTCTGGTACAGTTGGACCTGTTTGTCTAAAGATAGAAGATATCTGAACGGTTGCAGGGATCATCATCAACCCATTATTTGCATGGACAGGGAGTGGACGGGCGATCAGGTCAAAAGACGACAAGCAGACTGATAATGATGCGTGCCGTGAAGCCAAACTGACTACCTGCATACCTGTCCCCATTACTACTTGTCTTAACACTCTGCAGCCCTGCAAACATTTTTTATCAAAATATCAACTATAACAATACGAATGCACGCACAAAACATTTTTTTAAGGATGGCAAGGGGTAGATGCAAAAGGCAATCAGCACAGTTGTGGAAAAAACAATAAAACTAGACAATCAATGTCTGAAATATGTACAGATAAAACAAGCACAACATTACGATTTGCAACAAAAAATTATGTCGTCCAACAACAGTAAGACGCAGTTCGTGTAATGCACACATACAACAATAGAAACTGGGACGTACTACAAATATATACACAAACCAAATGAACGATTTGAAAAGGCTGAAAGAGGAATGAAGGATCAATAAAGCACTAGCACTACTTTTAGCGAAACACAATGAGTAATCTGTTCCATAGACAATATTTCAGAAGTAAAAGATGCGCAAATAGTTTCGACGATGAACGTAACTATTTTGTACGAATCTGTATTAATTTAAATACCACAAATAGATAGAAGTGCGTTTGGATTTCGACTGATTTTCTAATTAATATAAAAAAAGAACATAAAAAATGTTCTTTCCAAAACTTAGAGCGACATTTCTAACAAAGACTCTACCACTTTATATGGTGGGTCACTAACATCGATAATCTTTAAGTATAGGTAATATTTGCCCGCAACCACCACCTTTATGTGTGTCCTGATTTAATATCGACATATTAAAAGTAAAAAATCCAAACAATATACTCTTTTGAATTATACACGTATAATTAACTGATTCTTTCAAACAAGAAGTACAAAACATGAGGTAAATCATTAGTGATTCCATTAAAGTATAACCGGCATGATCTATCAATGCTGCCGCTGCCTGTCGTCAAATAATTTGAAAATATTTTCCATTTGAGGTAACAAATTATAATGTATATAGAAAATAAACTACACTCGAGTTCTATAAGTCTGTGTGCTGACATTAACCAGTGTTTTTGCATGCCGACTAGTCCATTCGTGCATCATAATCATGGTATCTAACAATGCTTTTCGTGCTTCCCTGCAATTCATATCTACCAGTTAATCTTCATTGATGATTATTTTTTGATAGCGCCATGCAACAGCGCTATATTCTCAAAGTACTATATATTTTTAAAAGCATGCTGTACAGTTGATATATTTTGCTTTACCGTCAACTATCAGCGTTTAAGCAGATGAGCTGAACGGATTTGCGTAAATTTTAGATAAAAATTAACTTGTTAAGACAACTAATACCATTACAAAAGTTTGACTTTATCTCATTAATAGAAAAACAAAGCAGAATAACTCAAGACTCGAATAAAATAATAAATGTATTAAATTGACTCTTACAGCACTAGCTACCAAGTTCGCAATTTTAACTTCTTGTCTAAACTCACTTGGTTAATGTGATATTTAAGGTTATACCATCTCTTACGGCAGCATAACATTCATCCACTAATTCTGGCCATTTCATCCAAAGTTTTCGCTGCGCGAAACGACACACTTCATACAGTGCACAAGCACAGTTGGATTCAATCTCTTCAATCTCATCTGCCTGTAGTTGCTCCGATTTATAAAAATACTCAATCTTTTAAGTAGTTTTAATACTGGTATAAATTAAATGAAATGAAAAATTTTCAAAATACACCTCCCCAATTATTGTTTCCAACCAGCCCTTAATCGACGAAACGATACAGAATAAAATATCATTAGATTCCAGATCACATCGAGCGTGTTCTCGCGGCCAATTAGCAATCAAAAGATGTGCCACAAGTTCCGGGAGTCCTTGCCCGATTTTTTTTCCCAATAAGACGTAATTTGACATTAAAACATTGATTTCTTGCGCAAAAGCTGATCGGAAGCTTTTCTGTCCTGCAATCATCAACAACAAGAATTTCTTCAACAGTTTAAAACAAGAAATCATCGCCAGTCACTAAAAATTAATTACACTGTCTCTAAAAACTTCAAAAAAGAAGGTTAAACACTCAATATAACGCCTTTTTTTTGTAGAGAAGAATAAGTAGAATTCTAAATATATACCAAGTAAAAGTAGGGTTTAATGACACAAAATTACTTCATATTCTTTAGATATCCTAGCATCGTTTCGCATTCACGGCCTAAGTAGATTTTTGAAATAGCCTGAATTATTTAATTTACAAAAGTAATAACTTACTGACTGCCATAATAGCAGCGGTTACTGCAAATCCTCTGACTTCCTGTATTGCGACACTTGCAACGTGACAAGCAAATCGATTCCAGTCTTCATCACTGAGGCATAACCTTCCTTCATTCATTGCAGTTCCTGGAACAAAAATTCAGTCATTTTTTACAATTTTCGTTTAAGTGAAAATAAGTAATTTTGATCGTGGACCAGTATTTTTAGCATTGATAAGAGTTTTATATTTTCTATTCTCCTAATATGAAAATTAAGACGAAAAAAAAAGCATCAAAATTTAAAAAACTCGGTAGACTTCTAATGTTTTAGTCTTTTGACTTGATGGAAATAACTATTTCATCATAAAAAGCAGTACCATAAGACATTTCCGGAGATAGAGGAAAAAAGTATTATAAGTTTGCTGAATAATGAGCAAAGAAATTTTACTGAATTTGTCATGCATCGAGCAACAATCGCTAACAGCAAGGTCAAACAAACTGATGAGTTCATCTGCAGTTATCATAGAGGCATCTAGAGGTTTTCGTGTCTCTTTACCGTCGAAAGCACTTCGCAGCATCATTTCTCCCAGTTGCAATTCATTAATAGATTGCTTCTCTTTCTTCCCTTGCTCCAATGATTTCCTTTTCGCACTACCATCACTGAGCGCTGATTCGATATTTTTAAACATCTGATGTCCCCGAGCTATCTTCATATTTCTTTCTCGAGTTTTCTTCTCCCCGAAGCTTTTGAGCGGCGAATTATTTCTGGTAATCGTTAGTTTGCTTAGTTTCTCAGTAGTACTGCAATCCAAACTAAGATCTCGATAAATTGTCGAATTATTAATTCCTGATTGAATGTCAGTGGGTCCATCATTGGACATAGCACACACCTGAAAAACTACTTTTATCACTTCGCTCTATCACTTTTAGCAGCTAGGAAGCAATGCAAAAGTTTCTTGCACTAAAAAAATCTTAAATCTAATTTTTTTCTAACCTATAACGCCATAAAAACCACTGCAATTTCTCATTAGAGAAATTAACAAGAAATAAAAATAATAAGAAATGTGACAGAGGCAGATATATTAATGCAATGCATTTTCTCACGTAGAAATCAGTAAATACAAAAAGGAATGTTAAGTACTTCATTCAAGAACTAATAAATAGTTCAAGTCAAAATACACGTACAAAAACGGATTACAATCCAGAAGTATTATTATAAATACTGTATACTGAAATCCGTCAAAGGGGTCTGGGGTTTATTAAATTACTCTATAAATTAACGAAATTCATAGAGGGAGTAAGGATAAGCTGTTGAGGGTCTTATTAATACAACAAATGATTACACCCTGCAAAATAAATACATAGAATGACGAAAAAATAAATAACACTGATGTAGAATTAGTTTCACAATTTTTCTAATATTTATATAATCTTGGATTTACATGTCTTCTACTTTCCAATCTTCATTTGTTGAAGGACCTGCACCATGTTCAGGATCATCGGGAACAATATTTAATGAACAGCTGGACGATCTGCTGCTACATGGACTGCATATTTGTGGCTGTCTTCGTAATGATCCAGGTAGACAACCTTTAACTATCCGAAATGGATTCTTATTATTCCTCAGTGTAGAAGATTTGCGTGCAATCCCGAACAAATCACAAATCTGATCCAGTTTACACTGCCTTGCTGTCTGTCTACCCTAAAAATTGTTTTTCTATAAAGTATGGCTTAACCTCTATAGTCTGCATTTTTTCACTGCTGATTACTTCTTTTGTTTTTATTAATAGTTTTTATTCAGTATATGTCAGTAAAGAGCAAAAGTTTTAATGCACTGAATTCTACGCATAAAAAAAAAAACAAATATGAAAACTTCAAATCTAAAAAACATAATATCTATTCCGCTGACTGAACAAAACATTTGAATTCCGATGTATGAAAGGAAGATGAGAAATATTTAAAGAAAAAAAAACCTTCGTAAGACGTTGTTTGGCAGCCATACATCGGATATGGTCATCAAACAAAAATTTTGCACTGAAATAAAATGCACCATTTGCTTCCGAACGACTGCTTGCATTATTAACAATAATATGAAGCGCACGACTGTCACCAAGATCACTCGTTAGCTGTGTGTCCTAAAATGATATATTCACTGATCGAAAAACTGCCATCATATGATTTCGTTTAGGACAGTATGAAATTTACTTGTAAAAGACCAACAAATCGGACAATGGCCCATCCCATACGCCTGCTATCTGGTTCTACCAATATCAACTGCGCCTGGTCCGTAACAAGGAATCGATGAACTTTTTCGCTTTTCTCATTCATAACTGTGCAAGCAAGCAAATCACTGTTTTCTATAACCAACAATGCTACGCAAAGTATAAAGAGTGAAATTAAATTAAAAAATAGAATTAAAAATAAATAGAAAAAAAAAGAAAGAGAAACAAATCGAAACCGAGGTTGATACAGTCGTTTACTTCAACAAACGCATCAATTTTAGATAATATCGGTAATCGTGTCTCTTCTTCATCGCGCAGATCTAATGCGAAATGCCTCAAGTGAAAGAACAGCTGGATATTCTAAAAAAAAAAAAAAAAAAATTATAAGCACTGCGCCTAGTACACATATATTAGGATAAAGTTAAACAGAAAAAAATTTTCACCCTTCGAGTTCGTTCTTCATTGCCACATGGTAAGCGCTTATTAAGCGATACACCATTCAGTGGTGTACTAGGAGGAGGAAGCAAAAGCGATGAATCAGTACTGATACTTCCAATTTGGATTTTATTCCGCTAAAAGCAACGATTAGTTTCAAGAAAGCATGGAGTATATTTTTAAAATAATGAAAACATTGGAACAAACCTCGAAATTATAAAATTCATCCTCAAACATCTCCAAAAATAATTCTTCCGAATAAACAGATGGTGTGAGCATGCTAACAAGGCTTGCTATAATTTTTCCTGCTCTCCTTTCACATTCTACTTGCGCATCTACAGATGCATCCATGATCAGTAACAACTGCCTTAAGACAATACAGCATAATTCAACTGTTACTGTACGAATAAACGTGTCTGAAAATTTGCGGCAATGCTTCAACTGGTCGACACTAGATAACAGAAATAACAATTAATGAGCAGCTGAAATAATACCTTTCTCAACACTTCTAATTATGATATCCAGCAATCCATTCAGGAAATTGTCATCGGAAAGACCAACGACATCGGAAGTGAACTGCACAGCATCCAGGATTTCTCTCCTTGCTCCTGAAATATTGCAAAATAAGTTAATTCCATATTGAGATCTAATACAACACAAACAAAAAGAGAGACTGCTATGTTTCGGGCTTAAAATTCCAAAACAATTCAATTCGAACAAAATTATCGATTAGGAATCGCTTTCAGTGTGGTAACGGTAATACCTTTGTTCTGACAAAGGGCATAAATGAAAATAAGTCCGTAAAAAGCCGAATAGTCATGCCTCGAACAATCCAACGCATTCAGATATCCATTAAAAAATGCTCTGAAATTCGTCATTCTGAGATTAGGCTACAGGAAATTCAAATATTCAGTATGAATTTCAAACATACAAATACTAATAGAAATAAACCTCGGTTCTATGTCTTTAGCTTTCATATTCGTAAGAATCCACGATGCTTTTTCATTACGAATCCATTGATACTCTATATCGGAACCATCACCAAAAAAGAATGACGATAAAAGTGTTTGTACTGCCTATAAATTCAGTTTATCTTTTATAACATACATCTGCAATTTATGGATCAACATAAAAAAGGAGAGTGGTACTGAACTACAGCAATAAAAAAGATATTTATGCATAAATACTCAGTATACAAATACAAAAAAATTAAGGACGTCACGCTTAAATTATAAGGAAACAAATAACCCGCTAAGAACTGTTACAAAATACAGTCTCACAAACATCTCACTATTTAACATACATGGAAATCATCGACGATCAGGAGAAACTGAGCAAGAAAGAAAAGAGAAGATACTGGTGTTAAAATAGCGGTGCCGGGATAAAAGTGAATACCGCCAAGAGATGAAAGATACAGCGATCCCAGTAGTCTTTCAAAAACTACTTCTATAAGTACAGCAGAAAGTTTCTCGTCCTAAAATATAAAATTTCAATTATCTGTCAAAATATTTGTAAAAAAATTTGCAACATTTGAAGGAAATGTGACTATTATGTAAATAATCAGAGAATAAAATCCTGTTTATTTCTGAAAAATGACATGAATGAATATAAAAAAGACAGGGAGTCAAAAACCAACTTTTATAAGTAAAATATCGTTGAGGTAATGCATATAATCAAGATAATCATCAATCATAGCATCAAGCTTTTTGCGATTGCTAGATTCATTTTCAGCCGACCGAACAAAATGATCGATTTCAATCGACTGTCTTGCAATAAAATCGCTCAACGCACAGAAGTAAGCTCGAGAGTGAGCACGAACAAAGCTTCGCATTGCTTCGTCTTCTACTTAAAATATCAGAGAAACAATTGCCCTCGATTTCATGTTTTCAATAGAACTACTTTACAAAAATTATGAATACCTCTGTATATGTTCAGCGTGGTCGTTCGTACTGCAATGCGCACCATAGCTTCATTATGATTTTGAAATTTAATGGCTTCTGTGTACAATGGAAAATCTTGATTAACCTGAAAACCACTAGATACGAATATGGAATAAGTCATAATGATAAAGGACTAGTAATAAAAAGCAGACGAACCTCATTGAAAAAAAAGTGTATTGTATACATATTAAGTTTGAAGGAAAGCGTTTTCAAAAAGGATATGTAATAGGCCATGATCTCCTCATTTTCAAAATTAAAGTGATACATAATAATTGAATTAACATGATTATTGCTGAGCAAATAATCTGAAAATAACTGGCATATTAATTATTATAACTACTTAGTTAAAACGCTGTTTCATAAGAAGAATTAAAGAAATCTGCTTTATCATTACTTCAACCTCCCCCCCTAAAAAAAAAAAAAAAAAAAAAAAACGACAGACTAACATAAAGAAGTTTTATGACGTATATTTTCGAATAAAATGTTGAGCGTTTGCAATAGCTGAACACAGATAAAGGATCCACAATTCTGTTTCATTATGGAAAGGAAATATTCCAACATTTGTCGTTCCAAAAAAAAACTGAAAAGTATATTTTAGATGGTTGTTTCTTGTTATCTACTACTCTAAGAAAAATAAGACAAAAATCAGAACGTGTAGCATTTGTATCCATTAATCAGGTCTTTTTCTCTCTTTCGCTGATTGATGTAAACAAGTATGAAATGAGCAGCTAGCAAAACAGAAGAAAAAATTTAGTTCCAAAGCAAACTGTATTCTATTTCATTTCGGTTTCCTATAAATTTTCCTGTAAAATTGATTCCTGCACTAGAATACATATGAAACTGCGCTATGCATTTATAATTAGCATAATGACTTGATATGTAATAAATTTAGGCATACATATATAACTTACTCAAAAACAGAACTTTCATTTTGGTCACCCCAAATTAAAATTTCAGCTATTGCTCTCAGGCATTCCACCAACAATTTACGGTTATTCTCTGTTACTTGCTCGTTCTTGCGAAGTATTTCATGCAAATACCTAAAAAATACTGAAAACAAAAACAAAGAAGAAAAAATAAAGAGGAAATTAAAAATAATCACAAATCTAAAACAGATGAAACAAAAACATTACTACCTAACTTGGACATAACCGTTCAACAAATAATGGACAGCTCACTTTAGATATTCCAACGAATGCGGATTTTTTGGTTTCCACAAGGAAGATATGCCCAGCCGTCTAAGCATCGTATCTGCTCAATAAATCCTAACACTTAAACAAATAA